AGCTGCAACTATTCTATCTCTTAATTCTTCTACAGTGGTAATGGGACTTATGTACACTAGTGTCTTAAGATAGCCCCACAAAAACAAATTTAAACTGTTGAGGTCTGGGGACCTTGGTGGCCATTCTTGGGGCCACCGCGTCCAATCCAACAATTTCGATAAACAGTTTGTAAATAATTACGAACCACTACACTGAAATGCGCTGGTGCACCATCAGGCATGTACCACATATTGTTTCTTATTACTTATGAAAAATCATCAAGCAGCAAAGGCAACTGTTGTTGAAGAAAATTGAAGTAAGTCATTCCGTCAGGTCATCCCGGCAAGAAGAATGGGCCAATAAAGTGGTCGCCAATAATTCCTGCCCATACGTTAACCGAAAATGATTATGTGGAAATTCTGAATGGCATTTCGAGAAAAAATAGCTTTGTCCGTGAACAGAATCATTGATTCAAATTGCGGATATTGTGTAATTTTTTGAAAATACCACTGACAAAAGGTCACACGCCTTCGAAAATCAATGGGAAGTCATGCCTGTACTATATGTAAATATGGTAAGGATATAACAAAAAATCCACAAAAATTCTCCAAACTATTTGATGGCAAATATTTAAGTGTCTAGCGATCTTCCACGTACTAGTTTCAGGATGTTCTTCGACTTCATGCTGCACTACTTCCCCAATTTCAGGTGTTCTCACACTTAGAGGTCTATCTTCAGATGTTGCTTTTCGGACAGAACCAGTTTCAACAAGACGACGATGAATATTAGAAAAGGTTCGAATATCTGGCAAAGCACGATCGGGATATCTCTGGTGATAAATCCGTCTGGTATGCTCACCATTACCGTCGGCAAGGCCATATACGTAATACATTTCCGCCATTTCTGCATTTGAATAATTCACCATTATTAACAAGATTGTAAAAACTAAATAATGTAAAAGATGTCACAACGGACAGATTTGAATAACAGAGACTTGTCAGAGAGACTCTCGGAATGTCCGGGTGGAGGGTGGGCTCGAGGGAACAACATCGAAGATAAAATTTGTTTTTCGAACATCTGCGGGATTAACACCAACATTGATGCTGTCCATCACTACCTGCAATCCAATCGTCCCGCCGTGCTTTTCTTGGCGGAGACAAAAATCTCAGAGTCTGCACCGATGAACCATCTTAACTTTCCAAACTACGAGGTGCACTCCAATCTGAGAAAGAACGGGGAGTTGAGGCTTTTGTCCGCAGCAGTCTTTCCTGCTCCAGAGATGTTTCTTTGGAATCAGAACGGAAGGACTGTGGCTTAGCCTCAACTCCAAAACCTCACCCAAATTTATTTGCTGCCTTTATCGCTCTCCCTTGGACCATAACTGGGATGACCTAATCGAATGCCTCGCCGTCCAGATCGACTTCCTGAATATCAATCATCTCGCTTCAGAGGTAGTTCATCTCGGTGATTTCGGTGATGGCCATAATGAGCTTTGGTTGGGCTCAAACAAGACCGACGAAGCAGGTCATGCAGTCGAAGCGTTCTCTCTTACCCAAGGGCTGAGTCAGCTGGTGACGAGCCCTACTTTTTTCCCCCGCATCTCGTCACATGCCAGCAGCCTGCTGAATCTCTTTCTGACCACGCATCCTGACCCTTACAGCACTGCTGTCCTGTCCCCCCTGGTTAACTCAGACCACGGTGTTGTGGAGGATAGGTTTCGGTCAGAACCCGCTGTGGCAGCAGAAACTCGTACAGGCCACAAAACTTGGCATTACGGACATGCCGACTGAGAGGGGCTCAGAGATTTCTTCTCTAGCTTTCCTTGGAAAGATGTCTGTTTCACTGACGCGGGTGCGTCGGCTGTCTGTTCTTCGATAACCGAAATTATCCACGTCGGAATAGAGGAATACATCCCTCACACAGTGAAAGTGCTTAAACCAGGGTCCAACGGCTGGTTTAACAAATCGTGTGACGCTGCTCGCCAGCAGAAGATCAAGGCACACAGACAAGCCGACGTTGAGTCCAGAAAGAAATATAAAGCAGCGGTTCGCAATGCCAAAAACCAGCACGATATAAAAGTTAGGCACAGGGTAATGTCGCAGCGCAATGGCAGTCGGTCATTATGGGCGCTAACCAAGCAGATTGAAAAAACTTCTCACACAGTAGCCTTCCATCACTTACGTGTCAGGATGGAACGATTGTATCCGGTTCAAAGGCCAAGGCGGAAGTGCTTGCAAAGATCTTTGCTGCCAACTCCACCATGGACGTCCCCCCCAACGCCCAAGTGCCGTCAATTCAAAGGGTTCTCTACACTATGCGGGATTCAACATTCAGGCATTAGACCGTAAGACGAGTGACCTTGTCGCTCAACGTCAACAAAGCTTCTGGTCCGGACTTGATTCCTGCCATTGTACTGAAGAGGTGTGCACCGGAGCTTGCTCCAGTTCTTTCGCGTCTCTTCCAGATATCTTATGAATCCGGCACCATCCCAGAAAACTGGAAATTTGCTCATGTCCAACCCATTAAAAAAAAAGGATCTAAGACCGACCGTTACAACAACAGGCCTATAGCTCTGCTATCTGGTTTAAGTAAGGTGATGGAGAAGTGCATAAATCGCGAGCTTCTGGACTACCTCGAACGTCACGGCTTGATTAGCGACAGGCAGTATGGTTTGCGACACCAACGATCCACAGGGAATCTCCTAGCTTACTTCACTCAATTATGGAGTAAACTCATCCAGTCGTATGGTGAGGCTCTTGACATCACGGAAGCATTCGATCAGCTGTGGCACGCTGCCCTCTTAAGCAAACTTCCGTCCTATGGCTTCCCAGAAAAGCTTTGCATACGGGTGGCTGACTTTATCTCTGGCCGCAAGATGTCCGTCGTAATTGATGGGTTCTCCTCTTCATCCTGCAGCGTCAACGCGGGTGTTCCCCAGGGATCGGTGTTGGCTCCGACACTGTTTCTCTTACATATCAACGACCTCTTTTCCTGCACGATCAACCCAATCCACAGCTTCGCTGATGACAGCACTCTACATGCAGGAATTCAGAGTGACGGGCCGATCTCTGCCGCTGAGTTGGAAAAAAGAAGACTAGCGATGACTTCCTCTCTGACAAGAGACCTGGAGGCTATCACTGCCTGGTGTCGACATATTGAATCACAAGCATTTTCAGTGCACTGTTGAAGTTCTTCCAGAGTATTTACTGCTCCATCATGATACATCAGCTGTTTCAAATAGCCCCACAGAAAAACGTCGCAAGGCGTTAAGTCCGTGGATCGAGCAAGCCAAGAAATTCATCTAAACATCCAAACTATTATTTAGTTGTTTATAAGCTTCTCGTCTAAAATGTGGTGGAGCCCCAGCATATAGGAACCACATATTCTGTCTCACATTTAGAGAAACATATTCTGATAATTGTGGCAGATTGTGTCGAAGAAAATCTAAATAAATTTCACCGGTCAGTCGAGGTGGAAAAAAGAAAGGTCCAATAAGCATGACATTTACCACGCCAGTCCAAACATTTAATGAAAATCTATGTTGAAAATAAGTTCTTTTTATAGCATGCAGATCTTCTAAATGTGACCAGTGATGGGCGTTTACGTGTATACATTAATTGTCTACGTCTCGATGTATACAATGCGTATACAATGTATACAATGCTTATACAATGGCTAGAATGTATACCATGTTAAAGACAATGTATAGAATAGCAAAAGTGAGGTTAGGTTTATTTGCAGACTTCAGAAAGTTCGTGAACAGTGAACAGCTTTAGAAAGATATGGTTGGGCGCCCCACGAACCAAGAAATCGATGAACTAGGGTTCATTTTGTTTGAAAATGGAAAGACATATTTCGTAGAGTGTAGTGTCTGCAAAAAAAGTTGGCCAATAACGCTATGTCTCGATTGAAATCACACAACTATTTTGTTATATTTTACTTAAGCAATGTTCCTCATTTATTTAAAACTTTATCTTCGTATACGTATATAAATAAATATTATTATATCTATAGCCTTTATGAACTGCTTTCACAGTCAAACCAATAATGCAATGTTGCAGAATTTGTACCGATGTTGAACTTTCAGTTCCACCTAAATCCGATCCGAAATTGATCCTAAACAGATTAGACAGAAATGTGTATTTGGGCGTAGAAAACGGGACATTGCAGTAAGTTACAACATGCTGGTGGCCCGAAATCGGTGTTTAATCCTAACATATACATTGTATACGTATATCGAGACGTATACTCATATATTCACCATTATACACGGGTATACATGATGTATACAAAGCGCCCATCACTGAATGTGATCTCGTCTGTGCACTGTTCTAAAAGCCACTGGCAAAATGCAACTCTTCTAGGATAATCTTCAGGTTGTAACGCTTATACCTGTTGATAACGATAAGGCTAATACTGTTCTTGTCATAATGTCTTCCACACTTTACTATGAGAAACTTCAACTTGAGCTGCTATGGCTTTAGTACTCATTGTTGGGTCGTCTTTGACCATTTCTAAAATGTGTTATTCAATTTGTAACATTTTAGTTAGAGCAGGTCTTCCAGCGTGACCTCCTCGTTGTTCTTTTAAGTATCCTATATCACAGAGTCTAATAATTAAATTTACAAACATGTTAGTATTATGTTCACTAGTTAATTGTTCTCACAAACATTGTTTTCGCATAAAATAATTAGACAAATGAATGTATTCGCACTATTAAAAGACCGATACAACCAAACCAAACCAAAGACTCGTACTGAAAACCATACAATAGTACAAACAGTTAAGCAAATTTAGACAAACGATAAGAGTGGTAAACCAAAAAAGCTAAGATTTTACACGGCACTGGTTGAGAATATCAAAAAATCTGCGTAATAACATTCTTATTTTATAAATTTTTTATTCTTTTACTATTTCTCTTATTTTTTAACTTCTGTATAGCTGATTTTTTGTATATATACCCCTTTTGACGAGTCCTAGAAGAAGTTAAGATAAATGACTCAACTTTGAAAACACCTGAGTGCGAAAAGGAGAGGTCATTTGTGGCAATATAATTAACTCTATATAATATTTGATTATATTTCATTATCAAACACATTTTAAATATAGTATAACACTAAGCTATGTACAAAAAACACATTCCATCTGGATCTCTGCCCCAAAAACCTCAACGGAAACTAAACAACACCTTCTGGATAGATAAAGTGAAGTCTGATGTTCTTTTCGGAACTACTTGGTTATTTAAGCTAGGTACAATGACACAGTTTCTAATCAAAGTGTATATAATTTTAAATACTGCTGCAATTAATATTTAATACCACCAGTGTGAAAAAAAATTGAATTAAAAAAATGTAATTACCTACTATGAGAATATTTCTGATAATTTTTTATATCTCTCACTTTTTCAGGACTATGCATACATATAATTTACAGTAGGATGGTGGACAATAATCATTATCAAAATAGGACAGCAAAATAATTATTATGTATGTTGTTTAAGCTTGCTCTAAGTCACTGTAATCTTCATCGTCTGAATCTATTCCATACTGCTGTCGTGCCTTTGCATCTGGATCATATTTGTCGCTCAGCTCCAAAAATAATTTCCGATGGTGGAGGAGTAGATGTTGAAGGATAAAGCCAGCTTTTTCTTTCTGTTTTGCGGTACATTTGCTGCATGCTGTTTTGATGGCGTCTGGAATTATTTCTGAAAAATCAAAAGATTAGCTTTAGTTTGGATGTTGAGAAAATGATACTATAAATCTCATTTAATGCGTTCAGTGAATAATGGTGCTGTTCTTGCATATTTCCCGTGTATTAAGATTAATCTGCATCACCATAAACAATGAAACTTTGGAAGTTGTTGATGCGATATTCGCAAAGATTCCTTGATGTAGAATTACATATGTAAAAATTGTCAGAAACAAGGAAAACAGTGAAGGCGGAATTTTAGATAATTCTAAATAATTTCCCAATAAAACCAAAAGTAATGACTAAATCTTCTTTAGTGTAAACGTTTCAGCCACAAGGGTGATCCTATTCAGTACAATGATAATATACAGTTTTTTTTTTATTTTATTTACCAAATTTACGGGTGACCCCGTTTTTACAAAATATAATCAGGAAATGGGAGCAACATTCACAACATGCAAGCTCACAAGACATTATAAAAATCACAATTTAAAAGAATTTTTAAAGCCTAAAAGTGTACAGGTAAAGATGTCAATATTAGACTGAGCTAAATTGATAACACGAAATACTCTATCGAGCGGAGAGTGCTGACCATAGATTGTGGGATGGAACTTAATCGCAAGCAGACTATTATTACGCAATGTTCTGGGGGGTACATTCGTATCGGTGATCCCCAATAAAATCTTGAAGGTGAAACAACCATCAGAGACCAAGCGTCTATGCTCCAATATAGAACGCAAATGTTCTAACATGTCAGCTCTATGATATTCCGTCATGTTTAAGTTGCTCTTTATGCTGCAAGACGTAAAAATTTATACTAGACGCGCTCTAAATCATCTTTATAACACTGGTACTGAGGGGACCATACTACTGTGGCACATTCTAAATTTGATCTTACTAAGGAGCAATATAAAATTATTGATTGAAAAACACTTACAGTTTTTCCAAACAAAGCCCAGCATCTGCATGCCCTTTATATACTAAGTGACATATAAATCCGAACACCCAGTTTAAATGGTTTTATTTTAATAAAAGTTGGTGAATGTATTTATCTTACTGCAAATAACAAGTGAAAAAATTTTCAGCCTTATCAGTTGGACATTCCGGTTTTTATACTGCTTTTTTTTAATTCACTAACGCTCTAAAATTGAATATTTCAGCCGCAGTAAAGAATCAACGTTGGCGGATTTTGGTTCTTGACATCCTTTCGATCGGTTACGATGCCTAGGCCTAGAGTACGGAGGCCTGTACGATTTCGTCAACTTAGTGAGTTTGATAGGGGCCGTATAGTGGGACTTTGGGAAGCCGAACTTTCTTTTCGGGCAATTGCAGTTAGAGTGCAAAGAAGTGTAGACACTGTGGTTAGGTGTTGTCAGGCATGGCTTCGAGAAGGCCGTACGCAAAGAGCAAGGGGCACCGGACGCCGCCGTAGAACAACAGACCGTGAAGATCGCCGCCTAAGATTATTGGCCTTAAGGGACCGTTTCTCCACTACCAGGTCCATTGCAAATGAATGGTTTGCAGAACACGGAAGACCTATTGGCATGCGAAGTGTTTACCGACGAATGAGAAGTTTTGGCTTGTTTTCATACCGGCCACACTGGGTTCTCCCTTTAACTCGAGAACACCGACGTAATCGCCTTGAGTGGTGCAGACAACAGTCACTCTGGGATCAGGAATGGAACAGTATTGTCTTTAGTGACGAGTCTCGATTTTGTTTAGGCATGCACGATGGTCGTGCCAGGGTTAGAAGGTGACGTGGTGAAAGGAGGAATCCACAGTTTTTTGTTGAAAGACATGTTCATCACACTGTTGGAGTTATGGTTTGGGGTACTATAGCTTATGGTTCCAGGTCACCTTTAATCTTCATCAGATGTAACATGAACGCGCAGCGTTATATCCACGAAGTTCTAGAACCCCATCTTTTACCCTATCTTGACACCCTGGCAGATCCAACTTTCCAACAAGATAATGCCCGACCACATATTGCAAGAGTCACAATAGACTTCTTTCAACATAATGATGTTACATTGTTACCATGGCCACCAAGATCTCCCGACTTATCCCCAATTGAGCACGTGTGGGATATCATGGATAGGAGATTTCTCAATTTGCAACGTCCTCCTCAGACTCTAGAAGCACTTCGAGAGGAGTTGGTGGTTGCCTGGAATGAGATACCACAGGAGAATGCGTAGCACATCAGGGTGCATCCACACATTATTAAAGGTCAAAGGGCTTTAAAGCAGTGCAATCATTTTGAAATTTTTATCATTTACTTATGCTTCATTAAGTACTTATACAAAATTTTATTAAAATAAAACCATTTAAACTGGGTGTTCGAATTTATATGTCACTTAGTATACTATCTTTGAGAACATGGTCTGAAAACTTAAGCCTTTCATCAAAAAGCACTCCAAGATCCCTAGCGGTAGCCTTATAGGAGAGAGTATCATTATTTAATCTATAGTCAGTTGAAATTCTACTCCTACTTTTGAAAAAACTTATGAAAAAGGATTTATTAGAGTTCAGATACAAGTGATTAAGGCCCGTACCGTGAGACGTTCCTACAATTATTGTCGGGCGCCTTTATGGCCTGCTTGATTATCATAGTTTTCTACTTTTCCGTGTCAGCGCTCTATTTTGAGGTTATATCACAAATATCCATTTGCATCAAATTGTGCATGCTTTTGATTTATATCATGTTTTATCAGCCTGAAATTTCCTACAATTTAAAAAGAAAAGATATCTTTACAATAGGAGAGCAATGACGCTGACCCAGAACAGGTGGCTTCTTGAAAGCTATTATAATAAAAATTACAAACAGGCGCATGACGTCTTGCTTCGAAATTTATGAGGCAAATATTTATGATTTCTAAGAAGTCAAAGCAAAATAGAAATTTAATGTTCAATCCACAGAAATTTGAATATTTCATGACTATTTAATAATAATTATATAATGAGATTGGTACCACTAATTTATTATGACAAGTATAGTTCTTTTTCTGTACATGTCCATCTTGGCGGCTACGTCATGTCATACGAAATAAGTAAACAAAGTGACTAAGGGCTGTATCGTCAGTCGTTCCTACAATTGTAGGACGCCTTTATGGCCTCCTTGATTTTCATAGTTTTCTACTCTTGCGTGTCAGCGCTCTATTTTGAGGTTATGTTGCAAATATATATATATATATATATATATATATATATATATATATATATATGCATCAAATTGTTCATGTTTTTGAACGTTTGTATCTTTGTATCTAACATCATTCCTAAATTTTTAATTTCTTCCACAGTTTCAATAACGGTTCCGTCTAAAACTATATCTGTATTAATTGCTTGCTTACACTTCGAAACCAGCAACCTAGAACCAATGCAACAAATTATTTATTTATTTATTTATTATTATTATTTTTTTAGAGGTTAAGTTTTAAGCAATAATTTTTTGAATAATTTTCGATAATACTTAATTTCATATTGAGGTCCATTATCAGGGAATTTATGTTATCTGGTTTACATGCTTTATAAACTTGGACGTCATCCGCATGAAAATGCACACTCCAATCAGATGTTATACAATCTACCAAATCTGAAGTGTAGAGATGTAAAACATCCTTATGGAACACCTGATTTTACATCTCGTTAAGTACATATTTTACCGCAAATTTTTACACATTGGAATCTGTCAGTCACTGTGTGTTGTAATTTTCTACATAGAACACCGTGATTGAACATGTCAAATGTCTAACATCACCAAGAGTGTAACCATTCCATCATCCATAGATTTCACTATATCGCTTTTAATTTTAATAACTGCTGTCGACGTGTTATGTAGCTTTCTGAAACCGGGTTGTATGTCAGATAGTATTTTATTCACTTCTAGATGTTCTCGTAGCTCGTTATCTACATTTTTTTAATAATTTTGACAGCAGATAAAGCACTTTGGTCTCAAGTCATTTAAGTCTACAGCATCGGCGAATTTTGGAAGCGGTGTTATTATTGACTATTTCCATAACATCGGCACTCCTCCCGTATTCAGTGATTGGTTGATGACTTCGGTAATTTGTTGAATACAAAAAGAAAATACGTTTTTCAGCATCTTCGTGGTAATACCATCGTAACAAGCTGCGTTTGACTTCACTTGTTCCAATTTTTCTTCAATTTTGCCTGTTGTTACACGACAGAATGAAGATATAGATACAGTGGCTTGTTTCTGTTCTGAAAATATCTTAAGAAACACATGCGTTTCTTTCAGGTAAATGACCCTGCTGTCCAAATAATGTTAGGTACTTTTGATTCGATAGAGAATTGCCGATATTACATTAGGACTAGACTGGCTCTGGCGAACTAAATGAGCTAAATGTTTTCCATGTACACCATCCATTTATAAATGTATTAATTTATAGATTCGCTGAAGATTGTCGCGCAAAATGAAAATAAATTAATATTCACATTTTTCAGCCAGTTTAATTAAATTAACCGGTACCCATTTAATTAAACCAGTGCGACGATGCTTTAGGAAAAATTTATATTGATACAATATTAAATCCCAACTATAATAAAGGTAATCAGTGATTAAGATATAATTTACGAATATTTTTATGAAAATATAATATAAATAAAAGTAAAACTTTTTTCTGTAATAACCGGAGAAACTATATATCTATGTTGCTCGCAATGTACCTAATAACAACTAAAATTTATATTCTGAAATATTTGAAAACAGTAACCGGGAAAGTATTTCAAAATGCTTTTGATTGCTAGCAAGTTAAAGTAAAACCAATAACAATAAACATCAGCAACTTACTTCCATCTGAAACTGAACTGGACCAGTACGCAAGCCAAATCTCTTTCGTATTGCATTCATATTATATCGTCAGTTTGACACCAGGCTATCAGGCGTTTCAAAGTATGTTTAAGATGTTTAAGAGTATGACTCAACGAATACCGAGTAGGTAGAAGGAGTCAGTCAAAGATTTGTTTGTCTCTTAATTGTTATAGTCTATAGTGAGGATCAAAGTTCAATTGACCTAAGTCAATTTTTTGACAGTTCTTTCATGAGATTCCTATTTTTAATGTTATTTCTTAAAAACACGAGAGTTTGCAGATAATTGTGGTACCTACGCTTCGATAAATTAATGATTTATTCCTCTCTATTTCTATTTAGGAAACATATTTTGAGGTAAATTGTAATAGATAGAAGCTTAATTTAGTTTAATTTTATGAAAAAACTACCCCTTGGTCAAAATAACCTCCTTTTGATAATGTTTACAAGCCCGGCTAGATAACGAAATACAATTCTGCTAAGATGCTGGCTTTACTCACCTTTCAAGAATTTACCCTCTGGCGGACATGGCCCTCTTTCCATCAAACAGTCACCATACCTCTTGACCAGTCTCTCGCTGGCCAGCACACCTGCCACATCGAAGTTGTCATACTTCGTGCTATACGTTCCCGATGTCCTTTCCACCCTCCTCAAAGCGTCCGCCGCCACAGGCCTCTGGTGGTCAGAAATCAAGATGAAAACGGATATCGCCGTTGGTATCAATGGGAGAAGAACCATTGTGATGAGAAAATTTGTATAACTGATAAAATTTCCATCAAGCGTCGTGCGTATTTTGATACGATTTAATTTCTTGTTGTTGTTGGGTAAACTCCAAGGTAGGCGACACTGAGGACGATCGTTAATGGTGTGTTCAAATTGTCGTCACTGTACATGATTCGAATATGTTAAACCATAACAATTGGAACCTTCAATGGATAAATTGAATTGAAAACAAATAACTAATTGTTTGACCCACTGGATATCCGGACGTGTTCCGTCTGAGCTTCTATGGAACAGGTACACTAGGAAAAGAAGTCCAAAGGGCTCTTGTAGAGATATGACATGCAAAGATTTTTGCTGAGGGACTTCTTCACTGAACGTCTAAAATTTACGCCAATAACGAATGTTCTAAAAGATTTGGCTCAAAATATTTATCGGATTTTTTTTAATGAAGACATTTATTTAAACACTAAGTAGTTAGCATAAATTACAACTCAATACTTAACTAAACTATACCATTATATGGAGTGACTGATTCTGCACTACCAGACGCAAATTTTTTCGAATGTTTCATGAGGTCCTAGACGGAAATCAGATCAATTTCTCTCAGTATTTCGTAAATTCGCCATCTGAATTGTTCTTCATCTTGAGCTTCGCAGCCCCATGATCAACCTTCTTAGACAGTAAAGCCCAAAAATCCTCTATTAGGCGAGCCTGCGGCAAATTTGGAGGATAATCGGCTTTGGGAAAAAAGGTATGTTGTGTTCTCGAAGACAGTCTTGAGTCTTGAGTAAGGGCATGATGCCAGCAAAATTACTTCCAAATGGAAAGGCAGTTGTCAGTAGAGCTCTGGCTATTCAACACTTCACACCTCACTCTCACCACAAAAGGTCGCGATACACCCCTGTTAGAAATTGTCAACTGACAGTGGAGTAAGTAAACAAACTTTTGTTTCCAAAGGCGATAAATGAAGTGGTCTACAGAACACTTGTGGAGGATGAAAATACTTTAGAAAATGAGATATTACGGGTCGTATTTGTTGCAACGACTACGTCGCCAGACAGATCATATAATAATACCTAGCTTGCAAAAATTTCCAGAGCCTGTCATCACGACAAATGCACACACTTTTGAATATGATTTCACATTTACTATTATGCACTTTTCAGTAAGAAATATATATGAATGCTTTAGTCCTTGCAGTACTGCTGCAGCAACGAAACATGTAATGTTTTATTTTGAAGGTATTTTGCACCCCTGCAACCTTTCTGTGGGTCGCATATGGCAATACTTCATAGTTTATGAATATACTCGAAAAACCTTGACGTCATAATAAAAAAAGTTACTCTGAAAAGTGTTTTGTGTGGAAAAAAATTGCCTTTCCGAAGAAATCAATATTGATGAGACATTGGATACCGACTTAGACATAGCAAATGCGTTTAATGACTTCTTCACTGAAATAGGAAAAAAACTGGCAAATGAAATTTGTAAACTAAATACCAACCAACCACCTAAAACACTTGCTAATTTCCATTTTCATTGAACCTGTCTCAGAAAATGAGCTCTTAAACATTTTACAAATCTAAAAAAACAACAAAAACCCTGGTTTCGATGGTATTCGGGCTGAGTTAGTAAAACACGTCGCACATGAAATTTCTAAGAGATTAAGCTTTTTAATAAGCCTAAGTATACAAGTTGGGGTATGTCCAGATATTTTCAAACTGGGTATAATAAAACCCATACACAAGACAGGCGATCCTTTATAAGTGACAAATTATAGACCCGTTACGCTAACTACAATATTTTCCGAAATTTTTAGTAAAACATAATCTCTCAATAAAAATCATTTTGGATTCAGAACAAACAGTTCCACACAAGATGCAATCTATTTTCTCACATTAGATTATATAAACCGCTTGACCAAAGCAGGCCAACTCTATGGTTTTCCTAAATCTTGCAAAAGTATTTGATACAGTAGATCATAATAATCAGCAGTTGGGTGTTTTGCAGGACTTTGGTATCATTTGATCTATTGAAAAGTTATCTTTAGGGAAAAAAGCAGATGGTCCAGATAAATACACTACTTTCAGTGAAGAACAAGGAAGTCCTTTGTTATTTAACTTATAAGTGAACAGCTTAGTTAGCTTACTAGATTTACAAATACAGGGAGCTGTCGTTTGTTTTGCTGATGACACCGCTATTCCTTATTCAGACCAATGGTCGTGGTATAATCTTAAGGAGAAGGTAGAAAAGGATTTCATTACAACTTCTGATTGGTTCAACCATGAATGCCCCACTATAAATTACCAAAAACGATGTTAATGCCGTTGTCCAATGATAAAAGAAGGCTTCTTGATTATTCTGCTATTAAGATGAAACAATATCCAGAAAGTACTCACGAATTCATTAAAATAGAATCTAATAACAAAATTAAATAACTGGGCATACTTTTGGATTCGCACATGAAATGAACCTATCATATTCATCATATTACCTTGAACTTGAGATGTCTGTTATTCAAAATAAAATATCTAAGTAATTATCTGCATCAAAAGACTCTAAATTGCGACATGGTTTATCAGCTTGGGGTGGAGCTCTAACCGCTCACTTAGCAAAACTTGAGGAATTAAACAATAAACAATTTTTAAAAATAACTCATGATAAAAACAGACTTTATCCGTCAGAACAACTGTATAAAGACGCAGAAACTCTAGATCTTCGGAAATTGTTTTCATTCAGTATATTGGTATATCAATTTTAAAACAAACATACGTTAGTACCGATACAATAAGTATACTTATTCGACTAGGAACAAAATTAATAAAATAAGCAGGACTCCTTTGTCTACTAAGGAAATAGGATAAAGATGCTATACGTGTCTCGCCAGACAGTTATACAGGGTGACTTCGAAGTTGAGTCATTTATTTTAACAGTGAGTAGATCTGATCAAAAGAAATGTTTTTTCCTTCAACATTTTTCTGGTAAAATTGTCTCAATAATAATATTATGTGGTCATGTTTGGCAACAACGGATATAATCCGCCTTATCGGTTCATCGCATCGGAAACAAAAAAGCGAAAGAATTTGAAACGCTTATCACGATGTTTTTACTATAATTTTATTCAGTTGTATTCAGTCAATGTGTCAGTCGGTAACGCGTGTGAATAGTGGTGTTTGTTGCGTGGCTCAAACGAAATAAAAAATGGCACATGTTTACGAAAATGCTGAACTTGTGGACATGATTCTTATTTACGGGGGGGGGTCTTTACAAAATGCTACCGCGGCATCACGGATTTATGCGGATCGGTTTCCCAATCGAGTGCAACCAACCCCTCGTGCCTTTGTTAATGTAGTACAAAGGGCTCGTGAATCAGGTGACTTAAGACCTCAAAGGGGAGGGCATGCCGGTGCTCCAAGACCGCACGATCAAATACAGGTCCGCACTGAAATACTTGTCGTGAGGATACTTCATAAAACAAGGTAACATTTTTTTTTATTTTTACACAAATATTTTGGTTTATCTTCCTTCTACAATCATTATCTGAAAATTAAAAATCTTCGTTACCAAAATTTAAAAAAGAAATAAAAAATATTAGTTGAAAAGGGACAAGAACAAATTCACAGAATTATAGAAAATAGATAAATCACACTTACATTTAGTGTGTCATCATGATTTTATTATATATAATATAAAATGTTTGACTCATCTATTATGTTTTTTATTGTCTTTTCCGTCTTTTAAAAAAAGCATAGGTAGATGTTTTAACAAATTAGTGAACGGTTGGTTAGGTAATAATTTTATATTCCTGTTTTTTTAGATGTAGGTCTTTAAAATTAAAAAAAAGTTGTTAACGCCTTATATATTCTGAAAGCTTTTATCATTATATTTTATAAGTATTCAAATAAATACTAAAAATGTGCTAGCAGGGCAATGATAAGTCGAAAGTGTACGACCTCATTGGGTATATTCCCCCACACACAAGCATTTGCTTCTTGTGGTGTTGTATATGTGTATTGCGGGATATGCTCTTTTCTTTCGCTCCTAAATTGTATTTTTTTTTTCTTCAATAAACGTTGTTTTTACTATATTATTACTTAGGGGAGAGGGCTTTTCATTTACCCTCAAGAATATAGTTCCGTTGTAGAAGCGAGCTGTACAATGTGAGTTTTCTAAAATTCTAAGTACTTTGTTCCAAGAACTATTGTAACAAGGTCATTTGTTGCGACAAATGTATCTTCTCATAAATTACCCTATGCCGTATCTAACATTGTAGTGTCGGCTAAAGTGGATTAGTTACAGATACTGCCGTTGACATATCAACAGGTACACCATGCAGCGGCAACCTTGCAGTAAGGCGACACTCACCGGAGATGACCGTATTGCAGCGCAGAGGTAGCCAGAAAATAGAAACGCATATTTTTGATCAAGTTTTGAGGGCAAATATACGGAGAAATTTATGATGTGTGGAATATATGTCTAATCCGTGCGTAGAAGTTCCGAGTTCGGAAGCGTGAAAATATGGTAACGCTATAAAATTGAGATATACTCTCCCCCACCTCTACAACCCCGAACCTGCAATTTTCACTCATTACATATATTTATCCGTTAGGATCCTATAAAACGTCAATAAGTTTCAAATTTGAAGTTTGAAGTTTCATAAAAATCTTAGCGGTAGTTTCCAAGTCATAGCGGGGTCAAGCAAAAGCGGACACACAGACAGACCAACAGAAACGAGTGACATGTTGTTCGTGATATGGATGTGATATAACATCCAAAAGACATATCTCATTTACTGAACTTTTCGCCATCACAATACCTCCTCGCCAGTAGCGTAAGGTAAGCTTCAAACATTGTAGGTCACTATACTCTTTTTAGTTGGAAAATATATTGTTCTCTACAGGATGTTTCTTGACTACGTAGCAATTCAAATATACATTTTTGAATATAAGATCCTACTCATCTTAATATATTTTGAAAGACTTTGTCAAAGGGAGAAGATTGATATATCATAGTATACCGTTTGGGTCACTACTTATGGGCGAGATACTGGATCAAACAAAATTTTGATGACTTATAAACTTGTAAGTCAGCAACTTGCACAGATAGAGTAAGTAAACTTTCCATCAAAATGGGTGTTTGTAATCACAAAATGCACTTTTCCCGCAAAAATTCAAACACCTCCTATATTTTCACGGCTTTGTGTTATACTTTTTCAAACATCACTTTGATATAAATTTTTGGGGCGTTATACGAGTCCCTTCCCACTTCAGTTGGCCCAACTATTGAAATCTTAGTTTTTTCTTATCAAACACAAATAATGAAAATGTAGCAGGGTTTTATAGGTTTAAAATATTAACAATGAATATTTTGATAATATATAGTAGAAAACACCAACTTTATCACTCTCTAATCAAATTTGCAGCATAAAAATAACACATGTTGCAATTACAACATACCAAGCTATTTTCATTTCAATACAAAATAAGTCTATAACACTTAGGTGGCTGTGAAAAATAAAAGCCATGACAATTGTTTTTATTAATCACAGCTGTCAGAATACGTTTAAAATAGTTTTGGGTAGTTAAGGTTTTCAAAATGGGTAGAGGAAAGGTTATTAGTGAGAAAATTCGGTTACTGATAATTAATTTTTTTAATTCTGGGAAATCAAACTCAGAAATTGCAACTTTGTTAGACTTATCGCGGTACAGTGTGAGAAATATTGTTAGAAGATATAACGTAACTGGTTCAGTTAATATTAAGCCACGATATGTGAAAAAAGTAATATCACAAACGCCGACCGAGGAGCATTAAGAAGAATAATCGTGAAAAACAGGCGTGCCAATTATTTACAATTAAGTGCTCTGTGGAGTGACGCTGTTGGAAGGAGAATTTCGAGGTCCACAACTCATAGAGAGGCCCACAAACTGGGATTTAGCACTTGCAAAGTAAGTTTTCTTATAAAAAAAGTGAAGTAAAAACCCAGAAGTTGCACAACTTGTTTATAGGCCAAAGAAAAGCCACTCTTAACTCCACAGCAAATGAAAAATCGGCTTAGATGGGCTAAAGAACATAGTCAATGGACACATCAACAATGGTGTGGAATACAATGGAGTGATGAGGACCGATTCGATGTGTGTGTTGGTGACAGTCGCAGTAGAGTTATTCGCAAAAAAAATAAGCATTCCATGTTGACTGTCTGGAGAAAAAAGTGTAATTTCCAGTATCCATTATGGTCTGGGGCAGTATGTCATCAAAAGGAGTATGAAAACTTCATTTTATTGATCGAAATGTGGATACAAAGAAACATTTGGCAATTTTAGAAGAATCGCTTTTACCAGTGATGAAAGAATGTTTGACATCCGGCCAAGATTTTGTGTTTCAGCAAGATGGTGCAGCGTGCCATACCTCAAAAAAGGCTATAAAATGGATGGAAGGAAATAATGTACCACTTTTGAAATGTGTTTCTAGCAGTCCAGATCTGTCACCTGAAACTCTGTGGCACGAGATGAAAAAGGTTCTACGACAACATCCTGCTCGTACAATCACCGAACTGAGACAAAAGCTTCAAGAAATATGGGATTGTTTTACACCAAATTTTTGCCAAAACTTGGTTAACACTATGCCCCAAAGAATTTCAGCCGTAATAAAAAATAAACGTCATTTTACCCAATGGTAATCTTTCAGTTGTTGCTTTGTTAACTTCGCGCATTTATTCGCACATTGTTTATTTGTTCAGATGTTCTATTAGTTATAGGTCTAAGTGATTTCAAATATGTATTTTTTACGACTAAAGTGTATCTAAAATGTTTTTGAGAAAATAAATTGTTTTAGAAGTAAATAGTTTCGTTATGTTTAGTTTATAAATGCATATTTTGGTACAAATCTTAAAGTGGGCCAACTGAAGTGATAAGGGGCTCGTATTCAGTCAGTTGTGGATTATTGGTATAAAGGCAAGGATTTTTAGTGGATATGAGATTATTTCAATGAACGCTTGTACTCATCAACCACAAATCCTCCCTTGCACGACTCTTGTAGTGCTTAATAGGAACAGGCAAATAACCCACAACCACACATAAATTCCAGGCCGAATTAGAGCTTATAAACAAGAAACCAGAACTGTAAAAATGTAGAGATCTTCCATTTGAACTTTTTGAGCTTATAAACACCATATATAGATAATGCAAAAGACATCAAAAACGTTTAAATAATCTGAATCTGAAGGGACGCCTATTAATTACTTACGTTTTTGATGATTCTCAGACACATTGTTTCTCGGGAGAAACATTGCGTGGTAGTTGCCTATACCCCTCTTCGACACGTTGGTGAGATTTGACTCGACCCCCTTCCCCACTCAACACCTCACGTAATTGATGAACTCCTAAAGCAAAACTGGAGTTGGAAATAGACATGACAAATTTAATGATGTATGCAAAAGTTTGGGTCTACTCATAGACGAAGACCTACGTTTACCATCCCAATTCTTGTTGCCGCTTGACTTATAACCTTAGCAAAATATGATCATGTACTGGCCCAATCAAAGATTTATGACGGCTCAAAATAAATAGCCTGTTCTAATATATATTTTTGTCATTTATACGAGTAATATTTACTATGACCACTCATTCGCCACTACGTTTATAGAACAAGCTAATATTTAGAGCAAGCATTCATAATTTAAATTTAAGGTAAATGAGCACATTGTCCATACCAATTACATCGCACAGTCGGCGCTGTTACTCATATACTCATAATGCCGCGTTAGACATCAGTATTAGGAATACAGCAAATCATCATAAATTTAAGTCACTATTAGAACAATATAGTTTCAACACACATTTTGGTAGCATCTTTGATGAATATATTTTATGTACCAAGTAACACTTGCATTTTAGAAGCATTTAATATGATACTTTATCAGGTATGCAGTAACAGGCATTTTTATAGTTTGGAGTACTATATTACAGGTACTTAATTCAGACTTTTTCTATATTTCCAAATACTATACATATACAATCATCTATACAATTTTGTTTATGAAGTTCTAGATACTCTGATCCAAAAACTATTGAAACAATGGCATACGTTACAACAAACTTATCTTGGACCTCATAAATCACTGAATGCCGTCTCTAACATTACAGTGTCGAGCTAAAGTGGATTAGTTACAGATGCGAGGACTGCTTTTGAGTCGTGAAGTTCAGTCTACAATCCGTGTCTTTCAAATTATGTACTTCCGTTGTCTATACAGTTTTTGAAATCCCAACGTTTCCGTTAAAGATATGTTTGGATATTTGTGAGTGGCCAACATTTTTTTTTTTAATCAGTTTGGGGCATAGTCAAAAAGCAGTCCAAACCATACTTCTTTTTTGCCAGGGCACCGCGGCTTCTATAAGGAGCTTAAAGAAGCTCTATTAATCCGATTTTTTAATTGACTAAGGTTAGTAGAACTGGGAAAAGCCTCCTCATGTAGATTGTTCCACAATCTCGATACCCTAGGGACAAAGGAGCGGTCGTATCAGCCAGTTTTGGATGTACGAAGTTTCGACACGGTACGGATGGGAGACCGAAGTCAGGCGGGTCTGCCTGGCAGGCACATCTCGCAGCGGCATCATAGAGGACAGCTCTGAGGAGCAAAGCCCATAGGCGTAGCGGTAGAGTCATCGATCGGTCGGACAGCCCTCCTCCTCGAGCATGGATAATGAAGTCGAGGCCAGATCTTATCTGGGCCTTGAACAAGGTCATGCGGAGAAAAGTACTGTTTAGCCCTAAACAAATAGCCTAGCCTTTTCCCAGAAGCTGCCGCTTTTGACAAGATGCTTTCGTGTCCGATCAAGTCCTCTTTGGTAGAACTCGGATGAGCGCTAGGACGCTTCTTGTTCATCAAGGGACAAAACTGTGTTTTGGAAGCATTAAACTGTACAAGATTGTTGCGTCCCCAAACAGTGATAACCTCCACCTCTCGCCAGAGAGGAAGTCGCCACTAGTCTCCTTTTCTCCAGCTCACCAGCAGAGATCGGCTTGTCACCCTGAATTTCTGCATGTAGAGTGCTGTCATCAGCAAATCTGTGAACTGCGTTGAACATACAGGAAAGGAGCTTGTTGATATGTAAGCAGTTGCCAATACGTTTTGTGAATAACTTTAGCGTTCAAGCTTTATCTCCTTGAATACTATGATGTGTTGTGCTGTGCGTCACGAATGATTAAGATTTTCGAAAATTTTAGTGTCATTGGGGAATAAGAGCTTCTTCATTATGACTGCAGAAGTATTAATTGCTGTATTATAACATACAACTAAATTTATTACTTAACATCTGTGCTATCTGTTTTTTTCTTGCGATGCATAACTGATAGTCATGTATATTCTGGACAACAATGTTGACTTAATGATTTTCCATAATTAAGGTGAATTATATATTTAGAATTCCAATTATTTGGATAGAAGACAAGGCCCGTTAATTAAGAAAATACGTAAAGCATAGTAATATATTAAAAGAAGCACCATACTACTGACCCCATTTAAAAACAAAGTCGTCGAAAATTCCCCACTATCAAGCTATGTCATAAACTCTCAGGTATATATTCACAATGAAAATCATCAATTCGCTAGTCTTTAATTATATATCAGGAACAATGAAGTGTGTAATATTCGTAGTAGTGCTGTCTGTGAGCTTTGTATTGGCCGCTGAAAAACATCCAACTGTTTTTGATGATACTAACGTTGATGAAATTTTGAAAAATGACCGGCTGGTCAGGCAGTATATTGACTGTGTAGAAGACAAAAAGCCTTGTACTAAGCAAGGGCAAGAACTCAAGGGTAAGTTACAATTAGAGTTAAATGTTATACATGGTGCTTCCAAGATGCATATGACTAACAATATTTCATTGCGAAGGTCACATATTTAACAGGACCATTCCTCCTTAAGAATGAGACAGGAACTTTTTCTTTCTCATTCTTTAGAGGTCAAGATATCTCCGATTTTAAGCCACTGCGATAGTTATAACCGCAAAAATGTTTTTTTGATTATGCTATTAGTACCGCGTGTAATTATATTTTTTCAAGTGAATAGATTATTTCACACACTGTAACTCACTAAAGGGTGAGGCATTTTAGGGCCCATGCTTATATGAACTTTTGTCTTTGAAGCACCTAAGGAATCGTTCTGTTGATATTGGCCACTTATTTAGAAACAAATAATTACTGTGTTAAATTTGAGAACCTGCAGTTGAAATATTGATTGGAGTCATGGAAATGTTGTCATCACATTGGTCATTGAATAAGTCATTAATGTCAAGAAGATTTAGTGGTAATTATCGCTATATTTTTGCTGATAAAATAGTAGTCCAGCATATTCTGGTTTTCGAATTTGTAAAAAAGAAACTCTTCGCAGTACAATACTGTGCTTTTAAAGGGACGAGACCTATAAATTAACACATAAGGACTAACGGTCGACATGATTGTTTTCCTTAACAAAAATATTCGATTTGTGTAAATCATGTATTAGTATAATTTGAATGTACAAAGCGTCTTAAATTTAACTCCCACCATAGTAGGTCAATTAAATTGAGAAAAACTTTCCAATTAGTGACCATGTTGGTGTACTCCTGCAAATAAATCGTTTCGACCGGAAATTTGCCAGAAAATTTAAAATGTCCTATTTTCATTTTGATTCCAAGTATTCATTATACATGATAAAAGGTATCTATATACACCTCAAGTGTTTACTTATGCCACCTCTTGCGAAATTTTGCCTTTGTATAATCATGTCGCTTGATACGAACACGAAATAGATTTTTTTAATTCAGCATTCTCCACCAGGGTATATCGGCTAAGACTACCAAAACTTTTCGGGAATCATACTTGTCAATTTTTTTAATTGAAATACGTGTTTTCAACAGACTTTACGTTTCTGCACTTATACATGATGGTGTTTTAAATAAAGTTTGATCACAGATTCTGTAGCTAGGAATCAACATTCATAAACACTAAGTTAAACCATGAGATTATAAAGATACAGCGGTTGGATCTTAAGCTAATACATGACTTTTATCAAACTATCTGACGCTTTTCATTTTTTTTTTCGGTTTAAATATGTATCAGCATGGAGCCTAAATACTAGGAGAAACTACGGCATTGCTGCACGTGCTGTAAAAGCGACCTCGAATCATGAGGCCAGGAGTACTAGTGATGCTTTGACAGGGTGGCTATGTTGGGGGATTTTCCCCTAAGTTAGGCCGATTTTTACATGGGGATTTTTTGGGGATAATATGTTCTAGGGGAAATCAATATTCAGTATAATATACTCGTATATATACCTATATACTCGTATATATATAACAAAAAATAGAAAAATAATGGGCAAAATCCGCAAAGAGAAGAAAAGTGGTTTCGAGCAGAAAATAGGATAGGTAACCCGGGCAATACGTTTTTGAGCTTGTTGACTTCATCAGGCCCGAAATGAATGCACATTATGCAACCACAAAAGTAGATACACATGCCCATATATCCGGATACGGGTGTAACCTGAGAAAACGAAGATGGAATGGGATATATATATATATATATATATATATATATATATAACAACAAGTAGGGAAATATATATGATCACATTCTCTTTATATATATATATATATATATAAACAGTAGAATAGATTACAGCAGTGTTGCTTGGTAAACGCAGCTAATCTGTTCTACTATTATTTATCATCCATAAAATCAAACGGGCGGATATCATACTATACTCAGATACCCTGCGCATACTCAGTAGCTGGTACTCGCTTTGATCACTGCGCCTTCAGTGAAACGTCAAGTTTTGAGGTCGTTTTTTTATTGTTCATTTTGCCGGTTCTCCTGGTATATAGTGCTACATATCTATCAGACTAGACCCCAGGTAGCACAAGTACGTATAAATGGCATTACAAGCTGTTTATGAAATGACCAGAAATGGCAAGTTAAATGACGAAGATGAAATAACGTGAAGATAACCTCTTAATGTCACATACGATGACGTCATATAGCAGACGTCAATAATACGTCACTTGCTCAACGTGAAGATGACGTCTATTATTTATAACGAATCACCGGCGGCATAGCTTCTAACAATAATTATATATTTTTCATTATCAGAAGCATGACATAGATGGAGCACCATAAATATAAATTTTAATACTAGCTAGGTGCTGTTCGCGTAACGACCTATTACTGGTATTAGACACAACATGCTAGAGAATTAAAGTTACGTTAGCCTGAAACCATTGTCAAAATGGTATATTTTTCTATAGCTTTGGGAGTAGGCGGAGGTTGAAGCAAGGAGACGCGGTTACTGGGTACAAATGACGGGAGTAGAAGAAATAACTTCGAATGCAGCGATCCACGATTATCGTTCACTATCAATTGTTGGTTGATATAGCGTTGCTAGACTAAATGTGAAAACATGTTCAAGAATACATTAACACAGAACGCAAGGAATAGCTAAGATATGATGTGTATTTTTTGTTTTTTATGTTCTATCTAAATGTTCTGTCCAATAAGGTCATTTTTGTTCATTTTTCACTCACACTTATTCTTCAAGCCGTTGAATATTACATATCGGAACACTTGAAGTATAAAAGAGAAATGGAATATGTATTATACAATTATACGGTAACGCCTTGATTATTTGTCATTTCAGGAAACTTTGAGTTGTTTTAAGTGAACGTAGATAAGGGCTGGAATAGGATAATTATTTTTCTGCCTTCCAAATTATCAAAAACATCGTACATTTAAAAATATATATGATTTAAAAAATACAACCTTAAGTTGCAGTACACGTACACTACTAGATATTTAGGTAGACGTCATTACGACGTCGATATTTGGAACACTCACGTCAGTTAACGGGTTATTACCAAACTTCGACGTGATTATAACGTACTTGTGCTAGCTAGGACTAAATGTCACATTCATAAATTAATGGTCCTTGAGGATTCAGAGATGTTTAAAGAATCTTATTGACAAAGATAACTTGTACAATGAAATGCAAATTTTAAATCCTCCCTTTTCCTCAAAGAAACGTTATAGTCTGTTTAAAATGGAAGGACATATCATACCTCACATGTACTGAATCCTCAAGTAACACTTACACTGAAATTTCTGAAAATGTTTGTCGCTCTCGTAAATGTTGTCGGGTTTTGTACGTCTGCTGTGTTGTACTGAAATCTAATATGCAGTCAGTTACTTCCCTCACCCACAAATTCTTAGAGAAGGGAGAATGTAAGATATGATAATTGCAGCATAGACTGCCTGTTGCGAAACTTGGGAATTTGTAAAAGTTTGTAAAAGGTTGCTTTGCTGCAAACGAGATCCATGTGGTTGTGCTTTCCTTTTGGGAAGATCTAAGTCACGAACTAGATCATTGAGCTCTTCCAGAGATATAAAATGTGGCTGGTTGCTGCTACTAGATTCGAAAACGACTTCCTCTTCAAAGCTTGGACCGGCTTCTGCTGCGGTGAAATCTGGAATTACATGGAGTTCAATGAGTATCTCCTTTATTTGAAGCCCAAGGGGTTGAGTCTTCGTAGATGAAGGACATTCCCAGATACCCCTCATGCGGTGTTGCCAGATTATACATACGTTCCCTATACTAAGAGGAAACGTAGACTTGGCAACGTCGTATCCGATTATGCTATAGAAAGATAAATATCGCACAGGTACATTCTTTCCCTGCTTAAAGCATGTTGATGATACTCTCTGGACTCCGTTATGTGATACGACAATTTAAAGGTCGGTGCAAGGGTTAAATATGTAGAACTTAACGAAATAACGGATTTGTTGGGCGTGCATAACAGTGTTATGAATATTGGATCCTATATACAAGATAACATAACAATTGACAATTATTTTCTAAAACTTACAGCTCGTGTTAAGGAAGCACTAGAAAATGGCTGTGGCTCATGTACAGACAAGCAGAAGGCGGGTGCAAAGAAAGTAATCAGATATTTGATGAAGAACAAACCTGACTGGTGGAAAGAACTTAATGATCGCTTCGACCCCGATGGTAAATACAAAGCTAAATTTGATGCGTTCCTCAAAGAAGCCGAAGCGGTAGCTTGAGTCTGCTGTTTAAGTGCCCAACTTTTGTTATTCATTGCTTTGAAATGTCACTAGAAATTATAAATCAATTCGTTACCAATTGTGCTGTCTTTGAAGCAGTTTCCTTCAAACCCTTTCCTAATTTATAATAAAGACATATTTTTGTTATGATACTTTTTCTGCAACTATACCCAAAGGTTTTCAAAATATGCTCAAATAATTGACATGCTGTTTCTTGGATTTAAATTTTCTACAATGTTTTTTTTTGTTTTTTGATTTACGACGGGCATTTCGACTGATGTGATCTACAATCGTCATCAGGTAAACAGCTTACCTGATGACGATAGACAATGCAAGTTAGAGAAACAGCATCTGAATCATCAACATTGTCAACAAATTTCAAACAAAAGCTAAAATAATCACAGACAGGTATTATACAGGATGTTTAAAGTATCTCTCCATACTGAAAGGGTGATTCTAAGAAGAAAAGTTTATACATATAAACACAGGTTCCGTAATCGGTTTTCAAGGTACAAGACATCATACTAGATATTGGTTATAACCCTTTTCATTCGATTTTATTGAAGTTTGTTAACGTTCAACATATCCAGACGTATTGCCGGAAACTTAACAAAATCAATCAAGACAGATGCTTCACCAGTATCACAAATAGCCATGTAAAGCGCTGGATTTAAGTAGTATTTTTACCTTCGAGGGTAAAAAAAATAAATGAATATATATATATATATATTTATATAGTATTCATAGTTAATTATCTTAACTGTTAGGAGAAAATTAAATCTCGAAGGAATTTTCAATAGTTGATTGTTTTAAAATTTCCAAATTTCTTCCAAAATCAATCAACGTTTAATTAAAAAAACCTTTCAAAATGATTTGCCATTTAATAATAAAATAATTCCGTGCTAATTGAACCTTATCAGTCCAGCTTTTTATTCGTCGACTATGTGTTCTCTTCACTGTTGTTAAAAAACAATTTCAGCAGCAATCTCGCCGACTTACTCCAGACGATGAAGACATAGATCTTCGAAAGCTCGAGTTTAAGTTATAAGAGTGTACTTTTGCAATACTTGGTCTTCTACCCAAACAAATTCAAGGATATTATATATATATATATATGATAAAGACAAAAGACTCTCAAAACGTTTATTTTTAGAAATGTCCCACATTTTCATGACAGATCATTGCATGAATAAAAAGGCTGATGTTAAGCAGCTCAGTGTCATTTATTCATACCTGTTGAATTGCGAAAAGCTTGAACGGCTACATGTCGAAATTGATCCAACATCTTCACAAAATTAGAATACATTTTCGCACTCACATTTTTAATATAAACTCACATAACCCATCTTTTCAAGGTTGTATCAATATCACACATTCTTGCAGTCATATGAACCACACACTTTTTTCCAAAACAAGTTATTTCAGCATTTTAGTAATTTTGGGTGGAGATTTACCGAGCGTCCCTCGTATACTTCATACCCAAAGTTGGACAGGGAGGTGTACATTTCTGGACTGCATTCCGATTGTTTCAACAAAATGTCTCCCCACGTGTAATATATTTTTAACTTGTTCGGGTGTATTGATATAAATATTTATTTTTTCTTAACATTTAACTTTTTCAACAAGCCCAATGTCCCCGTCCTTTTGTTTTTATACTGATCACAAGTTCGATCTTCTCTACGTTCATTCTGAAACACCTTGTGGCTGCAACCTCACCGATGAGTAAGTTGTCTGACATTTTAAATCTGTCCTGTTTTCTTTGCTAGTATCACAATTGTGTTTTTAGAATCCTGATGAAGGCTCCATAGAGAATGCCGAAAGCCTGATTTTATCGTCAAAAGAGTCAACTTAAGCCTAAAAGTTTTGCCAATTTCCCAATTAACAAGTAATTGTATTTTGTACCCAACTAGTCGTTGGCTTTGGCAATGACTACTGCTCATATATATATATATATATATATATATATATATATTAATTTTTTGGGGATTTTTCCCATTATTTTTCTATTTTTTGTTATATACCTTTCTCCGCATGATCATTTTCTTTTTGTAGATCCTTTGGGCTTGAAGTACCACCACAGCAAGTGGCTATAACCGGTCGCGTGGTTGTGGTTAGATGTCGCCTTGAAAATTTGAGGTCTTCTAGCCATTTTATACTACAATGTGCAGGTTGGCTCTTGTTGTGGACTTCGTGTGTGATGTTTCCCTCTTCATCTTCGTTCCCTCAGGTTACACCCGTATATGGATGTGTGGGCATGTGTATCTACTTTTGTAGTTGCATATGTGCATTCATTTCGGGCCTGATGAAGCCAACCAGCAGAAATACTTATCGCTCGGGTTACCTATCCTATTTTCTGCTCGAATCCACTTTTCCTCTTTTTGCGGATTTTTCCATTATTTTCCCATTTTTTGTTATATACCTTTCTCCAAATGATCATTTTCTCTCTCTCTCTCTCTCTATGTATATATAAGTGATCGAGGGACATTACAGGACCGGCTTCGGTTTGGTTCAGGTTTGATTGAGTTTGCGGAGCCCAATATCTCGGTTCTCTTAAGACATTGGTGTATTTGCTACTAAGAAAGTCCGCTTATTTTCTCAAAATCTACACGTCATGTAAAGGAAAACCCCAACTTCGCAGATATATAAAAATAAAAGTGTTGCTTCACTGAGGTCACATTAAAAACAAAAGTTGGAACAAACCAATATACAATTATCAAACGTCAACTTTTGTTTTTAGTGTGAGCGCAATAGAGCGTCACTTTATTTTTCCGTATGTATCTAGTGTGTTTTATTACAGATTTGAACGAATTGTGACCACGCGCTCATACACACTTATTTAAAAATACCCAGTCAAATATTTAAAAATGTGTTTATTTTATTTTATTTAAAAAGGAAATATTACGAACCTTGGGACTTAAAAGACACTCAAGTATCAAAATAAGAAGAAATATGTTAATGAAAGTTCACATATGCTTTAAAACATTTACATGGAAAGATTCCATAAATGTGAGCAACTTGAAATCTGACTTATTTTCAGGGCCTTTTCAGAACCCCACTTATAATCCCTAATTCTTTCCAGCGTTAAATCTGTGTAACCGAAAATACAACAATTATGAACAAAGGCAGATGAAAACCCACTGAAATTTTCTCAAAACACAATACTTAAAGCAAAAACTAACAGCCCGTGTGTTGAAAATGGATCATCGTCGGACGTATGCTTATACAGAATAACATGTTACTCTCTAATAATAATTACACAAATTTTCATAGAAAAATTAATACGAAGCTCCCCCACAGGCCCATAAATGGGCTACTTATCGGGATGCATCGAGTACTACTACTGGGTTATTTCGGCTATTGTTAGTGTTATAAAGATTATATTTGCGTTTTGAAAGGATCATCATTCTCAAAATTCAGTTACTTTACCAAGAAATTAACGCATCGCAAAGAACACCTATGCAACTTAGACAATTTTGACCCGACATGTATGTAGGCAATTCTTTGATTCGCTCAAGTTGAGTGTCTTACGTTCAGACAATGTAATTACTCAGCAAAACCGGGTACTGCCTAACGCAATTAGGTAATATTTTCACACCATGCTCAAAAACGGCCCAAAATTAATAACTTTGGAACGATAAAAAATGTATCGTTGATCAATGTGTGTTTCCAGAAAAATAGTCTTTTTCAATACCGTCAATAATATCAATTCACACTCCAGTCACGTCCCTAATAGTCTGACATAAATCTAAAACTTGAGTGAGCTAATAACTGAAGTGGGAATATGAGTATTATTTTTAAAAATGGTTCATTCTATCGATGACAAACAACAATACACTTTGAAAAAAATTAACAATATTGTATATAAATAAGTTAATAAACTGTCCAAATTTCGTTGAGTTCTACAGTGTTGCTCAAAAGTTATTTGAGAAGAACTGGTCTCCAGCGGCGTGCTTCAAGGGTATCTCCATACAAAAAGCCCCCCAAAGACATTTTTTGTCGGAACTTGCATTATATCTTGTTTTTTTATGTTATTCAATGTTTTAATAAGGCGTCATTTATAATAAAGATACAGTGTTAAGCCCGCCGCTCACGATCCAAAGCCGCAGTACGATTTTTATGATCCAATCTAGTCGGTACGATTTGACCGCAGACCAACTTTTAGTATTATAAAATGCCGCTAAAACTAGATTTTATTCGGCTATGTTTCAAATCAAAACTCATACTGCAAGATCGTTACAGGTGTGTCCTTATCCAATTTTCGACAAAGTCGTACAGCAACCGCATTCGACAAAATCGTACTGCAACGTGGGATTGTGAGTGGCGAGATTTAAATATTTTCTTCCTTTTTTTGTACTATTTTACTATATTCTTCACCAAAATTAGTTGTCAGTGCTTGGATATAGCTGATTTCGTATGTGATGGTTCTGGTATCTAATCTCACCGAAAATGGATGAATAACGCTGTTGGCAAACTTCTTGGATTGTGTTGTTCAGCTGTGTACAGAGGAAACAAATACTACACTTTCTACTTTTAATTGAAAATGAAGTAGATTTCATGATAGGTGTTTAGGAAGTAATGACCACTCAATTTCACATCTAAAACTACTATAGTACCAGATGCCAGCAACCAATGCTGCTGATAATTTTACCTACCACCTTAGCCATATACCATGGTACGTTTATTTTACCTCTTACGCCACTGAGAAGTATGTGATCGAGAAGTACCGCTCGGATTTCCATTCACTGCTACTATGCTAACGAAGAAAAATATTTGTCGTTTTGAAAATCAACCCAGTGGCCGCGGAGAAAGAAGACAAAAACAAAGAAAATAAAAATCGCACAAACTTCGTTTTTTGACATTTCAGAGAGTCTTGATCGTTTTCTAAAAAATGTTTAAGAGGAAAGTGGCAGAGGGTATATGAAAATGTTTTGATCTTTATATATTGATACGCACCCAACTCCAGTAGTTATTTGCACCTACTAGTCATATTTCACACATCATAGATTTTTCCGTACATTTCCCTATAAAACTCATGATAGAGAAATATTTTCCATTCGCGTACTCCTACTATCTAAGCTCACCGCTCAGCAAACCTGTCCAGCTGACTAATCCATTCATACTAAAGGCTGGCTTAAAAACATATACACGGAACATCCACGAAATAAACGATAACTTGCTGCAGCGATGCATCGCACACGTGGAAAGGACAACGTTGCAAGATGAACGATAACTTCCGATAGGGCGAGGAAATAATGTCGATTGATTGACTCAATACGTTTAATTTCTCTGTTATACATGTTCGTAGCTGACTTTGTTCTCAGATCATTTAAATTGCGCTGAAGTTAATCATTTATGAACTGATGACGGCGTGGCGTAAGAAGTGCAGAGTCAACCCACTTGATGCCGTTCTTTTCATGGGCGTTGGACTTCAACAGCACGTACAAACAAAACCCGTCTATAAGAAATACTTCTAAAAGCTTGAGTAAATATAGATAATCCAAAAACAATACTAAAACAACGCCTAAGCAAGTTTTCATTTCTTTCAGTTTTCATGGATAACATCTATAACGTAATGTCTGCGCAATTAAGCTTTTTTGAGAGAAATAACTTGTTTGTCGAAAAGACATCAAAGCTATTTTCCTTATATTGAAACAATGTACTCATTTATTCTTAGAAGTATACGATTTTCCAACAAACATTTAGACAAACGATTTGCCTTAGGTAATTACTGCGTTAGAAAATTACATTACTTGTCATCTACCATTAACATTCACCTTGGATTGGGGAAACATTTAGTGGTCATTAATTGACAATTGAATGTAATGTACTTGATCAATTTGACCTTTTTATTGTTGTTCAAAGCTGAAGTTGCAAAATTTAGGAAGAAAATGCTGCTGCAATCACGAGAGCCAAAACGTGCCAGGTAAAGAATCTTAGGAGGTGGAGATATTACTGACGTAACGGAAAATACGTAATAAACGTGTAGTACAATTAATGGTTGCTTACATTTTATGACCTTATCGGCCTCACCTAGAACCCAAAACCCATACTTGGGAACATTCCAATACTCTGTCGATGACACTATAAACACAGTACTTCCATCTATGCAAACGTTCATTTGTGGTTATAATTCAATTATTTTGTGAAATATAAGCGAATTTACATAGGAAACGTAAGAGCTTACTGGAGAGAAACGTCTTTCATTAAAAAAAGTTCCATGACTTACTTATGAAAGGATAAGTAGTGTTAGCGAAGATTACTTTATAAACAAAATATCCAATTTTTTGTACTTTTAGGCTTAAATGCTGGAACCCAGTTCCACTGCATGGATTTTTAAGATTTCTAACAAAAAAGTGACAAGTAATCTTGCGGGAATTCAGATTAAAAAGAAGCTCAATCGTGGGCATGTTCGCAATAAAGGAATAGGAGCAGAAATAGAAGGATTGAAAAGCCGAGCGACGTACGTTTCTGCTTATTGGCTTCGTCAGGTCCAAACGGATGTGTATCGGAAGTGAAAGCATACGCCCATCACATATGGATACGGATGTAACTTGATGGAACACAGTGATGTTTCTTTATTGCGGACATGTACACCATTCTACAAATGTTTCTGACAGCTCTTGTTGGTGACTTTTCCTTCAGATTACACCCGTATCCAGATGTGATTGGCATACGAGGTCTATAAGTTAAGTGATGAGACTGGCAACGTAGCGTCCGATCGGGCAACCTTGAAGGTGCCGGCCTTGGAAGGGAGACAGAGAAATATGTGATCCGCCTTCAGTACAAGTTTGAACTCGCTAGAGTCATTTGGTTGTTCGTAACGACTTTTGTTTTGTGAAAGATTTTTCTATTGTGTTATAAAAATTAACCGGAAGGCCTTCATCTTCAAGAACCGATAAAAATATCGACAGAATCCGGGATCTTGTGCGTTCAGCTTGTCGGTCGACATTCCGAATTTCCGAATGATAGGAAAAGGGTTGAATTTGACTCACACCACCGTTTATTATGTCAAAAACAACTAGGTGTAGCATCACGATAATGCTCCTTGTCACACAGCAATGTTAATAAACGAGTAAAAACATTCCTGTGGCCCCTTAGCCTCCTTATTTGCCTTACTTGAGTCCTTGTGACTTTCTTCTCTTCCCGAAGTTGAAAAATTACCTGAATGGAACAGTTGAATTCAAACGGCTGTAACCAACCCGCTGAAGGCTATTCCAATGGAGTTCCAGCACTGCTAATAGGAGTGGAATACCCGTCTCCAGCGCTGTGGCTTCAGAAGGAAGTTGTTTTGAGATAAGGCGTTCAAGATCATTTCTTCTAATATTGATATTTTTAATTTGCCTTGAATTACTTGAGTGATTTAGTTGGCACTTTGTGAATAAACAGTAAGGATTAAGGGGTTTAATTTGTACAGTTTATATCCAACTGAATCGCCACAGAGGCGGCTATACCAAATTTTAACCAGGTATTTCGAATTATAAACTAAGCTCCGCCACTGGTTTCTTTGTGGGTATGATCAAGGCGCTTTAAAAAAAAATTCCCCTCACCTTTTAGTAAGTAATTCCAGAGTAATGTACCTATGAAAACCAAATGAAAGTAGAACTCTCAGGAGTAAACTGGAATTTGTAAAATATCCTTTAACTATCAAAGAAGAATAGAATACTAGGATGAAGTCAAAAACTCCGGAAATCGGCATATGATGTTCTGCTGAATAAATTTGGGCGATCCAGGGGTATTCCCACATTTCTGTTTCAGGTATCAGGCACAAACCATATGTATTTTAGGTAACTGAATTGCAGAGATGCTGTTACCATTTCGTAAGAGAGAGTTGCTTCTGTGTTGTTTATTCCAAAAATAGTTTCTGTTTAAGATGCAGTTCAGAATAGTTCTACTAGTACAAACTGCAATACGTCCAAATAATCCTAACAAATGACTTTTTCCAATATCGTTTTTATTTCTTACTGGCTTCATTTGTAGTGGGGATCTTAAAAGAAATTACTCATTAACATTGCCACTTTTTCCTCTACAAGATGACATAATTTGAATTTCAATATCACGTTTCGTCTCTTGCCCTCCATAAACTTTATTTTTTCTTAAGGATATTACATGTTTACTATGAATAAAGTTTTTAATTCTTATTCCAAAAATGTTTAATACGCCATACATTTACATTCCCAAACCTTAGTTATACTAGAAAAATAGAAGCTCCTAGGTAGGCCTTAAAATTATCAGATTTCATTTGCTTCGTATACCAGACCAGACCTCAAATTAAACATAGCAACAGAGTTTGGGAGACTGACAAGAAGAGAAATGAATCGAGCAGTGAACATTGTATAGAAAAGAGTCAGGCTTTGCATATAAAATAACGGGCAACATTTTGAACATCTGCTATGAATTACCTCTGTTTATTCATGAATATTATTGTTATTGGCATCAATCAAAATTTTCATTTTATGTTCAGGTTTCACCATACTTCTTTATTTCCTTATAATTTTCATCCAACAACAAGCTCATGGCCTACTAAGGAAATACATCACTGAATTTAGGATTTAAATGTACCAAATTCCAATATAGCCTTCATTTGAAAAAACATAGTTGGTGATGGGAGTCGAAAGAATAGGTGTGGAATTGAATATTTGACTGCACCATCTTTTAAAGGAGAATTCATTTTGAAATCTCATCTCAAATAAAGTCAGGAAAAAATAAAAATGATTTTGGGATATATCTGGTATGAGAAACAAATCACTAACTGGTAATTTCAAGGTCTACCTAGGAAATTCTGTTTTCATTCAAATAATTCAATTTCAAAAATTCTAATTATGCCATCCTGTAGAGGAGAAAGGTGGCAATGTTGATGTGCAAATTATTTTGAAATTCCACTACCAATAAATTAAGGCAATTTAAAATGATTTTGGAAAAATTTGGTGCTTTCTGTCTCCCTCGGTACTTCGAATTTCAAAACTTTCTAATCGGCATTTTGTTGATTACCCAAATAAGCAAATTTGCCTCCATTTAAGCGATTTCGTGTCTCTTACAGTTTCCGAAATCACAATGGTGAGGGTCGAATTTGAAACAGCCTGTATAGAACTTGGGTTTGGGCAAGGTCCTTGAACTTCGGTGGAATGGGGGTACAAACGCTAAACGAAACTGTCACAAAATGTAACAAGCTATTTGGACCTTTGAGTATTATTTTTAAGAGTTTTTTTAGAGCTTTGAGTGGTGAGCTACAAAAAATGTTGAAAGGAACATCATTTTGTCCCCAGGTAAACCGGTAACTAACTGTTTCGTGCTGTTCTAATGGAACACATATAGATTTATATACAGGGTGTTCATTTGAAAACTTCCCACCACAGATTTATCGAAAACCACTGATTAAAGGGGGACAACTTTTTAACCAAAGTGTACTCCACTCTCTACCTCCCAGGGTCATCCCCTTAAACCGGTCGATTCGTTTTCAAGAAAATTAGAAAAATCTTCATTTATCTTAATTTGTTCAGTTACAAAACAAAAACTCACGAAAATATCACTTTTTATTTCAGTAAGTGTTCAAAATGCTTCTCATTTTCGGCCAAACAATGAAATAGGCGATCTTCAAATTCCTGACGGGCATTTTCAAAAACAAGCTGTTCATCCAAACTTTCAGGTTGAGGAGTAAACACAATAGATTTCAAATGGTCCCATAGAAAAAAGTCTAATGGCGTTAAATCAGGAGAACTAGCAGATCATTCTATAGACTCTCTTCGCCCTATCCATTTATCTGGAAACTCGCCGTCTAGACATTGCCGAAGCGGAAGAACATAGTGAGGAGGAGCGCCGTCTAGCCGGAAATATAATGCAGCCTCATCAAGTATAGGGTTTCCATTCTCTTCGATTTGGTTTTCAATGGTTTCAGTGATAAGCGGATTGATGGTATTTTCCAACATATCCAAACAAATGACTCCATTTAAATTCTCATTAATAAACAATGGCCCAATCACTTTGTTTCCTAAAATGTCTGCCCATACATTAATTTTTTTGGCGTACTGGGTATGCCATTCTACAAAAGCATAAGGATTTTCATTACTTCAGTGCCTACAGTTATTCTTATTGACAAATCAATTTAGATAAAATGCAATATTTTCATTTTGACTGGATGAAATTTATGAAGTTTAATAACTGGGTGTACAGAGCCTAATGAAATACCAGTCGCAGCAACAATTTTGCGTAATGAAGTATTAGGATTTATTCCAAAATGACCTAAAACTTCATCTTGAGCGGCTTCGTCTAAAACTCTCCGATGATCACGTTTTTTATTTGCAACCGATCCAGTTTGAGTAAATTTAGTAACAAGCTCCAAAACATACTTATGAGAAGTTAGTAGCTTCCCCGGCTGTCTGGCGTTAAACGAGAAGACAGTTTGCCGAGCACCATAAATCAGAATCATTTCCACTCTTTCGGCTAGTGTGTAAATCATTTTGGAAGTAAAATCTGAATCAATAAATTAAGTTTCACTATCCCAAGATTGTCACAAAGGAGACTGAGAGCAAATTGAATTCTTTCTTTCCCTTAGCAACAAATAACTAAACAGGAATAACAATAAATACAGTTCGTCCAGGATATATGTGTTAATGAAAAGAATACGGAAAATTCGGGTTGTTAGTTGGTTGTTGCCACGTCTAATCTTCCCAGTTGCTGTTCCCTAACGGGCAACATTTTGAACACTTATTGAAATAAAAAATGGCATTTCGTGTGTTTTTGTTTTTGATCTGAACAAATTAAGAAAAATAAAGACGTTTACTAGTTTCTCGAAAGCGAATCGACAGATCTCAAAAAATGAAACGCCAAAATAAAGGACTTCATAAGACCTGTCAAACAAGCTTTTAATCGATAGCCCTTGTCACTTAAAATTTTCAAGGGGATGACCCTGGGGGGCAGAGGGTGAGAGGAGTTGAAATAGTTTTTAGTTATAAGTCGTCCCCCTTGACAAATCTTTTGACGTGTCTCGGAGTTTTTCCTTTAAATCAGTAGTTTTCGATAAATCCGTGGTGAAAAGTTTTCGAAATACAACTTGTAAAATCAAAATACCACTTTCATGGATCTCCTTTGACTTCTCCAATCAGTGGGTATTAAATAAAACTGTTCAAAAAACATCGCTCAAACCTTAGAGAGCTTGATAATTGCATAATCGTGCTTTTCAGACAAACGTATGTCAATGTGTTTTCATTTTCAGCTTATAAATAAATAATACAGACAATGTTCGCTATAGCCACGTCCATTATGACAAAGTAATGGTTCACTTATAAATTAGTAAATTCGCCCAGAACTTATCAGTACTTTGTACCATTCAGGGAAAAGCCAAGGTTTCCTGCTTCTCCCCTTATATACGCTACTGCCTAGGTCTTTACAAGACTTCGCAGCTTCTAAGTCGTTGTTCTCACTACCTTAGCTAGCTATTTAGTTTGACATCTTATATTACAAATAGCTCTACCCACATATGCACATAGGTCTCTAAACTATACTGTAACACTTCAAGCGTTCCCAATAGGCATCACGTTCACTTCAGATTTCTTGTCTTCAAGATATCGTTTCTTGTAGCTACCGGTAGGGTCGTACTTCTCTTGTAGGGGAGTCCAATACTCCGGTTTGTTATCAATAAGATATCTTATGATGATTTCAGAACCTTCCTTCTGCTTCTCACTGCATTTGCTGCAATCAGTCGCTATGGCATCCGGCATGTTCTCTGAAAAGTAAAAAGAGACGTTTCAAATAGAAATAGTTTCCATAAGAAATTGCATCAAGTAGGTAGTTTGGACTAAACATGATGCTGTGGTCCGTCCGACCAAAAGACAGTCAACCATAGACCGCTGTTTAGTTGGCTACTCATCAGCATGGTATAGGCTTAGTCGCTCGTCTCTGGACAACGAACGAAAGAATCGCAACTATCCTCTATCCAGGAGGTTCGGTCTATCGATATAAAACAGCGCAAAGCGCTATCTATCACCAGAATCGGCCACTCCTGATAGCGCATAGCTGCTATTAGTTGAGACTGTTAGGGATCTCAGTTCACGTTTAATAGCCCATCCACCACGTGACCGCTAGATGGCTGACTATTCTGGCTGTGGATTCAATGTCAAAATAGGCCGCAAGTACTTTACAGCCAGAATCGTAAGCCTTCTAACGCACTTGAGTTATTAAACGTGAACTGAGATCCCTAAAAGTTCCATCTAACAGCAGATATGCGCTCCCCGCAGTGGTCGATCCTGGTGTGATAGATGGCGCTTTGCGCTGTCTTATTCTGATAGGTAGGTTGGCTCAGAAATTCGAACGCATTCGTGTTGAACTGACAACATCAATGATTTGACCTCAGAGCAATTAAAGAACCTTCAATATTTTGAAATTCCGAGACCACCTTAAAAATTATCACGATGTGTCTATCATTTTTGATATAAGCTGATACTACTACACGGAAAGGATACCACAGTACTTTATTGGAACTTCATCACTACTATCAATTTACAGAACCAATTATTATAGGTTTCCTAGTGATCATTTGATCCCCATTGTGTGTTCTTTTTTTGTTTTTTTATAGCAACAAGTTGAGATGTTTTCCAGAGTGCTTTCTATTGCAACTGTATATATATTTATATGAGCCCCTTCCAACTTCAGTTGGCCCAACTATTGAAATCTTAGTTTTTTCTCATCAAACACAAATAATAAAAATGTAGCAGGGTGTTATAGGTTTAAAATATTAACAATGAATATTTTGATAATATATAGTAGAAAACACCAACTTTATCACTCCCTAATCAAATTGGCAGCATAAAAATAACACATGTTGCAATTACAGCATATCAACCTATTTTCATTTCAATACAAAATAAGTCTATAACACATAGGTGGCTGTGAAAAATAAAAGCCATGACAATTGTTTTTATCAATCACAGCTGTCAGAATACGTTTCAAATAGTTTTGGGTAGTTAAGGTTTTCAAAATGGGTAGAGGAAAGGTTATTAGTGAGAAAATTCGGTTACTGATAATTAATTTTTTTAATTCTGAGAAATCAAACTCAGAAATTGCAACTTTGTTAGACTTATCGCAGTACAGTGTGGGAAATATTGTTAGAAGATATAACGTAACTGGTTCAGTTAATATTAAGCCAGGATATGTGAAAAAAAGTAATATCACAAATGCCGACCGAAGAGCATTAAGAAGAATAACCGTGAAAAACAGGCGTGCCAATTATTCACAATTAAGTGCTCTGTGGAGTGACGCTGTTGGAAGGAGGGAAAAAAATTATATGTAAGCGGGAGTCTTGTGGAACATCATTTTGAAGCTCCTGACTAGTACTCTATAACCCTAGAATATAAAGTCAATACCTTTACCTACTACAAAATGGTGGTACATTTAATAATTACTCGAACTCAAACCCACTAACATGCATTGCAAATAGTTGTAATTCCCTGCCGTATCCACAGCAACAGCGATAAAAACTTGTTTTGTTATTTTTTGTTGACAGTGACAAGAATATCAGTACCAAAACAAACATCATTGTTCAGTCAAAATATTTTTATTTAGCTTTCGGTTTCCGTGCTATATACTGTTTGAACCATTTTTAAAATGGTCAGTTCTCGTCCATTGGAAGAAAAAATCGATTCGATTTTTATTTATGGTGCGATGCGTAACTTCCACGAGACCGAACGGATTTTTAATGATCGTTTCCCGAATCGTCCTATTTGTAGAAAGTATTTAAGGGAACTTGTATCTAAATTTATAGCTACTGGTTTTGTAAACAACAAAAAGCCCCCAGGTCATCCGACCATTCCGGAAGAAAAGCAAGTTCAAATAATTGGTGAGATCATAGTAAATCCCCAACAGTCTACTTAATCCATCGCGAATGTATGTGAGGTTTGTCCTTCTACTGTATGAAGACTTTCTGCGAGACTATGACAGAAACCATTGCACGGCACCCTATCTATATCCAAAATATTTGTTTTAGTGATGAATGTACATTTTTTGTCAACAGTAATGTGCATAGACAAAATTGTCGTTATTGGAGTGACACCAATCCTCACGTCTTGCGGGAAACTCATATCCACAACAAATTAACGTTTGGGCTGGGATATTGGGAAATCATATTTTGGGACCTCTACCCATCGAACGAACTTTAACCGGGAAACTCTATTTGGATATGCTGGAAAATACTATTGACCCTCTAATCACCGAAATCGTGGAAGCCAATCCAATGGATTCGATACTGATATTATATTCCAGCAAGATGGTGCTCCACCACACGACTACAGACAAGTTAGGAATTATTCAGATAATTTCCCCGGTCGTTGGATTGGCCGTCGAGGTCCTGTGGAATGGCCAGCTCGCTCGCCAGATTTGACACCTTTAGACTTTTTTTATGGGGCTATTTGAAGCTATACGAAACTGAACCTGCTTCAGTATTGGATATACGGCTGAGAATAACAAATATATGTTACTATGTTTAAAAATGTTCGACGCAAAATTATTGTGTCAAGAAGTTCAAGGCAACGATTTCCAGCATCTTCTAAACTGAACTCAACGTATTTATTCGAATTATCAAGTTAAATGTCAATGTATTCAGGTAATTATTAAATGTACCACCATTTTGTAGTAGGTAAAGGTATTAACCTTATATTCTAGGGTTATAGAGTACTCGTCAGGGGCTTCAAAATGAGGTGCCACAAGACCCCCGTTTTCATATAATTCTAGGCTTCACCCCGAGAGATGTGCTCTAGCATCTCATGTCAACACAACAAGGCACTCTATGAACCACACCAGTATCAAAGCTCTCGATAAAGAAAAACACCTGTAAAAACGTTTATTCCTGGAAATATTCCACATTTGCATGAATGACAACTGTATCAATAAGAAGACAGATGTTAAGCAACTGAGCGTCATTTACTCATATTTACTAAACTGCGAAGAATTGGAGCTCTTACACATCTCTTCAAATTTTGACTCTTCACAACCATAAATGGAATCTGTTTTTTGGTCTATTCCACCAAAAAATTCCATTCCATTCAAATTTTAATCTCATATTTAAATAATAACTGTTCATTCAATTGTCCATCTCATGATAATATAGTTAATTCAACTGCCTCTGGTCGGGTTGACAAGTTCTTACCCAACATATCTTGAAAATCACACCATCTGAAGTGCACACGCCTTACAAAAGAATTTTCGTTCCATCATTCTACACGGACACTGCTAACCTTCGGCCATCTGTCAAAAGGTTCATCTTACTCATGATTCTATGCCCACCATTTTGAGCAATCATCAAGTGGCTTCACGATGTAATGCTTAACTTTCGTTTTAAATATTTTTAATCTGTCTTTAATTTGTTCTTGTCATACAGATGTGTGTAGTTTGTATAATTTTAACCATTGTACCAGGTATCCAGCTTTCACCATGTTACTGGGTGTTTACCTCATCTTTAACGTAAATAACATTTAGCAACATCCTCACATACTACTGTAAGTTAATTTAAATTCATTTTACACAATTGTTGCTACTTTTATCATTGTAATTGCAGCTCCTGATGATGATGGCAAAGACCATTGAAAGCTAGAGAGATTAAAAAAGTATAAAGAGTCCTCCTTGCTTAAATTTTGCCGAAGTACCCAACAAAAGGGGGAAGCTTTAATTTTCACCTATATATATATACATATATATAAATGAACCCCTATTTCTCGTGGTCTCGCCATAACTTGAGAACGACTTTACCCATATCATTCATCTTTTTTTAAGTTTCCTAATGCTGTATAGAAGGTTCTTACGGAAAGAGAAATCAATAAAATTGCAAAGAAAATTTCGAAATCATCGAAAACCTAATGATTATTTAAGCTACGCGCGTTTGGCGGTTTGCTTGAGCTTGGAGCACGCACAGCAGAAGAAAAATCTCAAGCACCAAGAGAGACAGGTACTCCTCTAGGCCATCTTTATTCCAAAAGCGGTGCTTTCGTTTTTGGACTTTCATTTCTTCACCATCCGTACTTTGTGATGACCCTTTCAAAAGAAACTGCAGTGTTGTCGTACTGTTATTTTTTTCAGTTAACTCTATGAATAAAAATGGCTGATGAAAATACGTTTGTCTTGCTTAATTGATTTTCACTACTCTATCATTTTGAACTTGACAGCTCACACGCCGCATATTTGTATTATCGTTTAACAGTGTGTACCGATGAAAAAATATTGTTTTATTCAATCAGTAGTGCGCAGTCCATTTGATTAGAGTTTTTATCCAGTTTTCAGTTTGTTCAGTGAGTTTTTTGAGAAGTATTTGTCCAAAAATAATTAACAAGGGTGGGAGTTAGTTCACCGCAATCACGCCTTATATTAAAATTATGATTCTTCAAAATGCCACCAATTAGACGTACCAATCTGGGTCGCAAAACTTGCAATGCTGTCAAAGATATATACTAAGAAGTCAAACTGACGAGCAGCGACAAGCGAGAAATGAAATTGAGCGGGATCGGAGGACTGAAATTCACCAAGGTAGAAGTGTCGCATTTAATCTAATTCAAGCTGCATTCAATTATGATGTGGTAATCGATTACAGTTCACAACAAATCGTTGCTATTGGACCAATGAACGTTGTGAGTCCACGTTGCAAGGCTTTCAAGTTTAAAAATGAAGGCCCTGGATTATGTTGCGTAAGTGGAAAGATCAAATTGAGTCTATTGGTACCACCACCAAAGCCACTACATCCATTCGTTTCCAGAAATTGGCCAGATTCTATATATTTTTTGACTCGTATCCAGCAATACAATAATAGCTTTCAAATGACGTCATCTGGCGGAATAAATTTCATTCCACATAATTTTATGCCTATTTTCAAGGTAAGTTGATGGGGGACGTCAGTGCTACCAACGTATTTTGCTAGCCACATGGCGGTACACGCACTTCACTATACGAGCCCCTTCCAACTTCAGTTGGCCCACTTCAAGATTTGTACCAAAATATACCTTTATAAACTAAACATGACGAAACTATTTACTTCTAAAGCAATTTATTTTCTCAAAAACATTTTAGATACACTCTAGTCGCAAAAAATACATATTTGAAATCACTTAGACCTATAACTAATAGAACATCTGAACAAATAAACAATGTGCGAATAAATGCGCGAAGTTAACAAAGCAACAATTGAAAGATTACCATTGGGTAACATCACCTTTATTTTTTATTACGGCTGAAATTTTTTGGGGCATAGTGTTAACCAAGTTTTGGCAAAAATTTGGTGTAAAACAATCTTATATATATATACATAAAGCTTTTGTCTCAGTTCGGCGATTGTACGTGCAGGATGTTGTCGTAGAACCTTTTTCATCTCGTGCCACAAAGTTTCAATAGGTGACAGATCTGGACTGCTAGAAACCCATTTCAAAAGTGGTACATTATTTTCTTCCATCCAATTTATAGCCTTTTTTGGGGTATGGCACGCTGCACCATCTTGCTGAAACACAATATCTTGGCCGGATGTCAAACATTCTTCCATCACTGGTAAAAGCGATCCTTCTGAAATTTCCAAATATTTGTTTGTATCCACATTTCCATCAATAAAATGAAGTTTTCCTACTACTTTCCATGACATACTGCCCCAGACCATAATAGATGCTGGAAATTTCACTTTTCTCTTCAGACAGTCAACATGGAATGCTTCATTTTTTTGCGAATAACTCTACTGCGACTGTCACCAACACAAACTTCGAATCGGGCCTCATCACTCCATTGTATTGCACGCCATTGTTGAGGTATCCATTGTCTATGTTCTTTAGCCCATGTAGGCCGATTTTTCTTTTGCAGTGGAGTTAATAGTGGTTTTTCTTTGGCCTATAAACAAGTTGTGCGACTTTAGGGTGTTTACTTCACTTTCTTTATAAGAAAACTTACGTTGCAAGTACTAAATCCCAGTTTGTGAGCCTCTCTATGAGTCGTGGACCTCGAAATTCTCCTTCCGACAGCGTCACTCCACTTAATTGTAAATAATTGGCATGCCTGTTTTTCACGATTATTCTTCTTAATGCTCTTCGGTCGGCATTTGTGATATTACTTTCTTTCACATATCGTGGCTTAATATTAACTGAACCGGTTACGTTATATCTTCTAACAATATTTCTCACACTGTACCGCAATAAGTCTAACAAAGTTGCAATTTCTGAGTTTGATTTCCCAGAATTAAAAAATTTAATTATCAGTAACCGAATTTTCTCACTAATAACCTTTCCTCTACACATTTTGAAAACCTTAACTACCCAATACTATTTTAAACGTATTCTGACAGCTGTGATTAATAAAAACAATTGTGATGGCTTTTATTTTTCACCTATGCGTTATAGACTTATTTTGCATTGAAATGAAAATAGGTTGATATGCTGTAATTGCAACATGTGTTATTTTTATGCTGCAAATTTGATTAGGGAGTGATAAAGTTGGTGTTGTCTATGATCAAAATATTTATTGTTACTAATTTACACCTATAACACCCTGCTACATTTTTATTATTTTATAACAAAAAAACTAAGATTTCAATAGTTGGGCCAACTGAAGTGGGAAGGGGCTCATACAATTACCTCTATTCCATAGGTATATTTACCCTTTTATTATTTATTATTCATCCCAGTTCATAGCTAAGACAGAACAACGTCTGTCGGGTCAGCTATTTGTAGATATTATTGCAGCAATCAGAAACTCATCATTTGTTCCTAGGTCTGATTTTATCATCATGTCCCTTACTCAACATTATCCGCATCACTATTGGTCAAAATGTCAAGCCATTTCCTTAGCTTACGTGCAAAGTTCTCAACAGTGAGACTTTCGCTGATCCTCAATTTTAGCTGTCTTTGGTACTCAACCCATCTGCTACATTTGACTAGGTGATCAGGAGTCTCCTCCTCGTCTTTGCAATATACACACTTCACACACTACCTCTTTTCAAAAATTTTAGGTAACTGTCAAATAAGTAACAACCCATTTAAAAAGACCAGAAGCATCCCACCTTTCCCTCATTCTAAAAAAAAGCGACTCCCTCTTATCACCTTCAGCTCTAGCACCCTTTTCATGGAAATATACTAAGTGACATATAAATCCGAACACCCAGTTTAAATGGTTTTATTTTAATAAAATTTTGTATAAGTACTTAATGAAGCATAATTAGTAAATGATAAAAATTGGGTTCTGTTGGTGGCGGTAGCTCAGTTAAGATAGATGGAATATATGCCTTGTCAGGTAATATATACGTCTCTCTTCAGTCTTTATTGCACTGACTTGTGAGTATGAAATCACTATATTTTGGTGTCTAAGAGCATGTACTATATCTCCGTTTTATTATAAGAAAAAGGCACTCCCATACTGTGCTTATTTTGTATGTCCAACACACACTGACATAACCTGTAGACTTTGATGTGAAAATTAGGAATAGAATAATGCCACAGCTCAATAGGAGTCGGCCTTTCTGGATGTTGGCAAAGCAGATTAGAACGAACAGCGTAGCCTTCCAGAACTTATGTACCAGGATTAAATGATCTTAACCGACTCAGAAGTTGAGTGCCTGCCAAGATCTTCCAACTTCACCATGGACGTCCCCTTAACGCCCGGGAGCCGTCGATTCAAAGGGTTCCCTACATTATGCAGGAAGTAAAATTCAGGCTTAAGCCGTAAGGCAGGCGCTTTTCTCGCTCGACATCAACAAAGCTTCTAGTCCGGATTTGATCCCTGCCGTTATATTGAAGAGATATGCAGCAGAGCTTGCTCCAGTTCTTTCGCATCTTTTCCAGATACTTTAGCACATTCCAAGAAAATTTGAAAATTGCACATGTTCAACCTATCCCAAGAAAGCGGATCTAGGACCGGCGGTTATAACTATTTGTCTATAGCTCTGCTTTTGTTATAAGTAAGGTGATAGAGAGGTGCATAAAACGGGAGCTTCTGGACTACTTCGAACGCCAGAGCTTGATTAGAGACAGTTAGTATGATTTCCGGCACCAGCGATGCACAACGGACCTCCTGTATTGATGTAAAAAAGGAATAGTGGAGCTTTTTTCTGAACCCTCTGGAGTTGACCCTAAATGCTCTATTTTGATCTAGTTCTAGAACTCATAACATATGTCCTAAAAGTTTTGGCACAAAATTCATTGGCTTTAATTTTAACAAACACCAAATAATATCAAGTTGCCCTTGGAAACAAAAGTTTATGTACTTACTTTACTGTAGTTGACATTTACTTATTTTAAAGTTTCAGCTTTAAGATGTCGTATAAATCACAAATCAGAAAAGTATCAGATGGTTGTGCGGGTACCCAAAACTGAAATCTGTCGAATACAATATTCCAGAATAAAAACATTTTAAATACGGCGGAGTGCGAGCAGGGAATGCAATGTCTGAATCTCTCAAAAAGTGGAAGACCATGTTTATTTCCTGCACAGAGGTCAGAGAGATTGGTGAGAAGAGCAAAAAGTCAGATTGGAATCTCAACAAAAAGACTGGCTCGTCAATATAGATCTTCCAAGAGTAGATGTCATTGGAATTGAGGTGGAATGGTCTTGGGTATCAAAAGAGGCTTAAGTGCAAAATCTCTTAAGCTGACGTCAAATGAGTCGGGTACACTTTGCCAATTGGAAGAATCTTTATTTTTGATGACGAAATGTATTTCACTTTGAGTAATTCTAAAATGAAGGGAAACGATGTATGTTATAAGGATAACGTAGAAGAATGTCCTGACAATGTTAGATATAAACGTAAAGCGAGACTTGTAGATAAAATCCTTGTCTGGTGCGAAATTTCTAACAGGTTTGTATCGCAATAGTCGGAGCTATATTGATAACTGACTTTCCAAATTGCTTCAATTTGTCGAAGAACATCACGTTAATGACCTTATCATGTTTTGGCCAGACCTAGTATCATGCCATTAGATACCCAAAACTGGTTTCGACAACACAACATATCTTTTGTTCCCAAAAACGATAATAATCCAAACTTGCCCCAGGCTCGCCCAATAGAGGATTTGTGGGCTTTACGGTCTAGGAAGGTCTATCATGGAGGCTGGGAAGTCCAAGATAAAAGACGATTAAGATGGTGGATTTACGAAAAACTGAGAGAAGTTGATCTGAATTCCGTTCAGGACCTCATGAGAGGCATTCGAAGAAAGTTGCGTGTGGAAGTGGAGAATGGGCCACTCCACATAATTTATGATAACTAGTTAGTGTTTGAATACATTTTTTCTTTAAAAAAATCCAATAAATATTTTGTGCCAAAACTCTGTGAAAGAAAAAAACATTAACGGATGTTCTGTGGTAGAAGGATCGCCGTGATCGTGAACCTTATAGACTAACATGTACGAGTACTTACTTTTCAGTTCCAGTCCGTCTGGTGTGCATCGTGCTTTTTCTAAAAGACAATCCACATAGCTCTTCAACAGTCTTTCGTTGTGGACAATATCATCCAAATTCACATTGTCGTATTTCGTGGTATACTTGTTCCTTTCAGTGACTGCAGAAAATGATACTGGCAGAAGAGATAAGGCGACAAGGATAAAATGATACACCATTTCCTGTAGAACAAAATAGAAGCTTCAGTCAAAAGTTGTATAGTGGATTATACATAATTCGCACAGATCAAGCTAACTAGCCAAAAACTAGAAAAAATGTATAAACGTATTTTGTAAGGTTAAATGAAAAGGTCTCCAGATACAAAAAATGTACTGGATAACTTTTTGTTAAAGGTAAACAAATCACTTTGTCTACTATATTCAGAAAACTATGCAATTTGCAGCTACTTCGCTAGACAGCTCGCAAAATATAACCATCATCTCCAAAAAATTCTGTGCAATTATAAATGTTCATAAATTAATTTTTGTCTAGAAGCTGCCACTACAAAAGGTTTTACTTTTATTATCTCATATTTTATTTTGTGCAGCTTTAAGTGAAAAATGAAATTGAGAAGTGGTGATATTTTTGGTTTAAAGCAAATTGAACTTACAAAGTTCTATACAGGTTTTCCCTATACAATACATACTTCATATTTTTTTGCATAAATGGGAAAACGCCATTTTTTTTAATGTTGTCGGTTAATCAAAAAGTTACACACCAAAAATGTTTGTATCTCTACATTTTCATCTACTACGAATATATACGCGTACTTTTAAATGTTTAAACGTGCAGGCATGACAACATTCGATCGTTTGTTAACCAATGTATGATCACATATGTAAATTTGATGAAACGTCTCATTTACACGGGCTATTGATCTACAAAGTCCTAATCATAGAAGTAAACATCGATAAAATCCAAGAAATTATATCTCAGTCAGTAGAAAAGATTTCTTACATATTCGGGGTCTACTTAACCGGTTTCATTGTAGATGCCATCTTTAAAAAGTTTGTTTTAATAAAGATATCATCTAAAAACCATGTAATATAAATTTTGTCACTCAGGCTTCACTATAGTATAGCAAAAGGCTCTTTTATGCACAGTCACAAAAGCTTTATCGGAAAAATACTTACAGTTTTCTCCGAGATGTTTTGACACAATGAAATAAACAAAAATTGTTATTTATTTTGCAGTTATATACCTCTTATAATAATTCTCCACATCATAACGATAACAGGCAAATTTTTGCATGAAATCTTTTGTGAAATTGCGAAATTGTTAACGTATTAGAGTTATTTACAAATGTCGGCCAAGCCGACACGCTATTGATTGTTCTAGAATGCACAAAGATCCAAAAACTCATTTCCATGAATATTGTGATTATCATCAGGGTTTCCAGTACCCATCTAACCTGTATGTTAATGTTAACATATACGTCGTATTAAAAACAGATAGAGATAATAATCGAACTAGTCAACAATTGCAGGTTCTGGTTTCAGAATGCAATAAATTGAGGGCTATGCAGTCACTATTGATAAGTACCGCTGTATGTTGATCTGATCTTGTAGTTTTTCTGACTCTGTGTATTTTTTGTTAATGTGCTTTTTTCTATATTTTTTTTTCTTGGTTTTTGTAAATCTTTTGTGTCCCTCGTTGGTACTAAGAGCAACTATCAGCTGATATACTTGTCAGGTGAAATGAAGGCTTATTATTATTATTGTTATTCCGTTTTCCATTCTTTGCTGTTGCAAATATTTTAAATTGCGGCATTCTACTGCAAGCGTAAAATTAATATTATTATAAGCGAAAAGAAAATAAAAATAGGCAATCTGAGCTCCGGCACACCAAGCTGCTGTTCCATTAATGACTAGCCACATACTGCGAGGTAAGCAACTTGTTGGTCCGCAAATCGTGTGCCCTAAGCAGACGTAGGGAATCGAGCATATAATAATAATTATTATTATCATTATCATCCTTCTTCTCAGGTTTTCTGCCTGGTTAAAGCGAGGTGCGAGTGGATCTCACCAAGCAGTCTAGTCTATTCTTCGCTCAAGAATCGTCGCACTATTCGGGTGGTATTCAGTATAACAGCTTCCTGTAGTAGCTTAAAAATATTTGGTTGCAATCCCAGTGTTTCGATTCTTCTGTGAAGATCCTTCGGTATAACTCCCGTAGTAGACAGTATAATTGATACTATTGTGACTTCACCTAAATTTCACATTCTCTTAACTTCATCTGCCAGGTCTTACTCCTTTCGCTTCTTTTCAGTGATTGTTTTTAATATATACAGGGTGGCGCATCGAAAACGAAACACGCATTTACTGGCAGCTCAGTTTTTTTTAAAAACGCTCAGACCTGTCGATTTTGTTTTCGAGGAGGACACAAGTTTGGCAAAAAATCACGTTAGCATGTGCAGCCCCAAAATCTTAAATGGAAAGGGGGGTCGAGTGATACCTTATTTTAAAGGTCTTTCAATTCCCTTTATAATGATATATATATATATATACAGGGTGACTTTGAAGTTGAGTCATTAATTTTCAGATAATGATTGTAGAAGGAAGATAAACCAAAATATGTGTGTCAAATAAAAAAAAAATTAAAAAAAAATTTTACCTTGTTTTATAAAGTATCCTCCCGACAAGTATTTCAGTGCGGACCTGTATTTGATCGTGAGGTCCCCTGTGAGGTCTTAAGTCACCTGATTCACGAGCCCGTTGTACTACATTAACAAAGGCACGAGGGGTTGGTTGCACTCGATTGGGAAACCGATCCGCATAAACATGTGCCATTTTTTATTTCGTTTGAGCCACGCAACAGACACTATTCACACGCGACTGAAACTGACTGTATGTATAACTGAACTGAATTGTAATCGTAAAAACATCGTTCCAAATTCTTTCGCTTTTTTGTTTCCGATGCGATGAACCGTTGTTGCCAAACACGAACACATGATATTATTGAGACAGGGCGGTACTCAAACTTCCAAAGGGCTATAACTTTGTTACTTTAATTTTACCAGAAAAATAGTAAAGGAAAAAAACATTTCTTTTGATCAGATCTACACACTGTTAAAATAAATGACTCAACTTCGAAGTCACCCTGTATATATATTAGTGGAGATCAATACATTTGGCAGCAAAGTAATTTAAAAATGAAGAACGAACTGACCCGTTAGGCAAGTAAATGTTGAAAATGGCCACCATGACTCTCCATGCAATAGTAGATATTTTGCTCAAAACGTTGTCGCACATTTTGCAATATTTGAGGAGTAATTTGAAGGCACTCATTCACAATTCTTTGTCGCAGGTCTTCTAATGATGTTGGCTGAATAGCAAAGATTTTGATTTTTAAATGACCCCACAAAAAGAAATCCAAAGGTGATAAATCTGGCAATCTTGGGGGCCATTCAATGGCACCTCTTCTACCAATCCATCGATCTGGAAACGTCTGATCTAAATATTGTCGAACACGTAATGCGTAATGTGGTGGGGCACCATCCTGTTGGAACATCAACCTATTCGCAATGTACCGCCGATCATTCTGATTTTCAATTATGGCTGTTAATGCAGGATCTATGGCGTCTTCCAGTAATTCCAAATACATTTCACCGGTCAAATTTCCAGGTAAGAAAAAAGGACCAACTAAATGATCGCCAAAAATACCAGCCCAAACATTTAATTTTTATGGCTGCTGTGTATGAACCTCATGATAAATTCTGGGATTAGAATCGGACCAATATCGGCAGTTGTGACGAGTAACTATGCCATTTAAGAAAAAGGAACATTCGTCGGAAAAGCAAGTGTTGAATAGAAAATGTTCATCGTTTATAATTCTTTCCCTTATATCTTCACAAAATTTTAATCGCCGATCAAAATCGCCTTCATTAAGTTCTTGTACCATGTGTATTTTATAAGGATGAAAACTATGGGCCTTTAGAATCCGTTGGACAGTACGTCGACTAACACCACACACAGTCTCCAATTTGCGGGTACTTAACGTAGAATCTACAAAACCTTGCCCTGAAACCCCCACTTCTGTTGCTTTGTCCCTTATGAGATTTTCAATGTTGCGTTTTTTATTGGCGACTGACCCAGTTTCCCGAAATTTAGCTACAAGTTCTAGAACATATTTTCGATGCACGTTACTGTTTTCATGTCGCTCATTAAATATTTCTGCTGTTCTATTAGCGCACTGATTATTTCCGAAAAATGTTTCGATGATTTCAACTCTTTCTGCTGTGGAATATACCATGGTTAATTTATGTAATAAAGCGTTACAAGTTATTTTAACAACAAAGTTTGGTCAAATCAATCTCAAACTATGTATTAAGTTCCTATTTAAAATAAGTGCAAGATATTTCCTTATCTTTCTTCAAGAAATAACTTTTTTGCCAAAAAAAAAAATGCTCCAATAGCTATTTTCAACAACAAAATGATAAACAAACCATAGGCGTAGTGAAGAAAAGCATTTACTTATTAAGTAAATTATTTTAGACAAATTTCTTCTGAAAGTAGTACAAACTAATCTGATGTACCTATTAAAGTTTACATTAAGCTTTAAATCAATAAATGTTCAAAACTACTGAACTGAAGCTCATGTATTTTACATCATTATAAAGGGAATTGAAAGACCTTTAAAATAAGGTATCACTCGACCCCCCTTTCCATTTAAGATTTTAGGGTTGGTGTCACACCCGCCCAGGGGGCTGCACGTGTTATCGCGATTTTTTACCAAACTTGTGTCCCCCTCGAAAACAAAATCGAGGGGTCTGAGCGATTTTCCAAAAAAAAACTGAGCTGCTAGTAAATGCGTCTGTTTCGTTTTCGATGCGCCACCCTGTATATATAATGGTTGGTAGGTATATCGGCATCGATAATATAGTCTTCTCTATTCTGTTTACCCCTAGTACTATGTCAGGTCCATTGCAAGGAACATCTGTCGTGAATGAATGAATGAATCTTGAAATTAGAGGCATTCCGGCCACCATAAGGAGCCAGTGCATAGGCCGCTTAAGCGGGCCCTTATGCACCTCTACATTCCTTAGATCACAAGCCTCGCCCTTTTAGCGAAGTTGAGAATCGCCTTGAGTCCAAGCTCCTTGACGTCATGAGGGTCCAAAGTAATGGACCCCAGTATAGTCTGCCTATAGTAGCTCAGAGCTTCACAGCTCTGTCGTAGTAGGCAGTGTATCGGTTTGTTTGTACTACTGCGGGTAGTTCATATTTGTAACTTTGGTGTAACTGTGTTCCAGTCCTAAGCTGTAGCACATATCTTGATGTGACACGGCAGCTACTTGGTTGTGGCGATATATATAGTCATTTTTGGTCAGTGAGCTGCATGCCGCTGTAATATGTTGGACCGACTCTGATTTTCCTTTACACTTTCTACACATATCGTCTGTCGCAGTTGGGTCCTTGACAATATGTTTTAGTTAATCTTTGGGGAGCTCGACTTGGTCCTGTATGGCCATAATAGAGCCCTCCGTTTTCGGAAACAAGTCCCCATTCCCCAACCATGCCTTGACGCTCTTTTGTCGACATGAGATTGATCGAGATCATGCGGATGTCTCCCAAGAAGGACATTTGTTCGCCATTCTTGATGTTTCTCTTCGATGCTGACTTTATTACTATTATTATTATTATTATTATTATTATTATTATTATCATTATTATTATTCACTCATTCACAGGCTTGCCTGGGTTAAGAACGCTGGCGTATCGGTTTTGAAACAAGATGGCCCGTTCGATGATGATGTTAGAAACAGTTCTAGTTGCCGCCTAAAACTCTACGGACTATACTGCATGTGTCCAACACGACCGACTTTTGCATGGGTAAGTATAATTCAAACGGTAATCCTAGTTGTTGCAGTGATGTTTTTAATTTTTTAGGTATTTCTCCAGTTGCTCCGATCACAATGGGGATTATGACTACTGTTTCCATGTCCCACATTTGGCGGATTTCATCGCTCAGGGGTAGGTATTTATTGATTTTTTCTCCATGTGTCTTTTCTTGGTTGGCTCCCAATGGCACAGCGAAATCTACTATGTATGTTTTGTTTTCATTTTTTAGAGTGAGCACGACGTTCGGTATGTTATTACTTATCGGTCTATCGGTTATAATTTTCCGATTCCAGTAGAGCCGGGTTTGTTCATCTTCGCACACAGCAGGCGGCTCGTTTAAATAGTACGACACCATTTCTGTCAATCCCATGTACCTTTCACGAAGGCTTTGGTGGATTATCTTTCCGACTCTGTTGTGCCTGTCTAGGTAAGATTTCGGTGCCAACATTGAGCAACCAGCGATGATGTGGTCAAGGTATTCATCCTTTTCACCGCACACACGACATCTGATATTGTCTTGTCGTTCCCGCATTATGTTCCTTTTATATACTTTAGTTGCGATGACCTGATCTTGGATAGCAGATATGAACCCTTCTGTCTCAGCAAACAGGTTTCCAGAGCGGAGGTAGGCCGTGGATGCGGTATTTACTATGAAGTGCCTTACTCTTCCATTGTTGCAGTTGTTGCTCGGGTATGAGCTGGTCCACGCTAAGGCTGAAGTTTTGGTCTGCCAGTCTTAAAGGAGTAGCCTTATTGTCCGCCCTTATGATAGCGTGGTGAATCTCACTGGACGCAGCCCTGGCGAGGAAGTAGTTCCTAAGGTTTGTTACTTGCCTGTTGTGGTTAATAACTAGATCAGGTATACCTCTTCCACCCAACTTTCTAGGCAAATGGAACCTTTCCAATGATGAACGTGGATGATGTGCTCGAAATTTGCTGAACTCTTTTCTGGTTTTGATATTGAGGTTTTTGAGTTCTGTTGCTGTCCAGTGAATCACTCCAAAGCTATAAGAAACTGCAGATGTGGCATAGGTGTTAACTGCTTTTGCCATGTTCTTGGCAGACAGCTTAGTCTTCAGTATCGCCGGGATTCTTTTAATGTAGGTGTCACTTACTCTCTGCTTTGCTGCTGTATGATCTAGACCTCTTGCTTGCAGATATCCAAGATATTTGTACCTTTCTCCCTCTTCCATTCCGGCGATGGTTTGCCGCTCAGCAACTTCATATCCCGCGTGATGTACCCACTGGCCCTTCTCCATCCCGCTGGTCCTACGTTTGTCCAGCCCAAATGACATTTTTATGTCGCGACTGAATCGGGTGACGCAAGTCAGAAGGTCGTCAAGGTGTTTTTTAGACTTTGCATACAGCTTTAAATCATCCATGTACCAAAGGTGGCTAATATTCTTGTCTGAGTGTGGCAGTATATAACCTTTGCGCTGCCTATTCAACATAGTTGTCAGGGGTCGCAGCGACAGACAGAACCATAGCGGACTTAATGCGTCCCCTTGGAATATTCCATTTTCTATTTTAATGGTACCTGCATCTACACTTTTTTGGTTGGTGTTTAAGACAATTCTGGTTTTCCACTGAGACATGTCGTAGTTCAGTAAATTCAGTACATGGGCCTCGACTTTATAAAGCTGCAGCACCTCGGATAGCCAGGAGTGAGGAACACTGTCAAACGCTTTTTGATAGTCTATATACGCTGTGTGCAAAGAGCCTTTTGAGCGTTTCGCGTGAGATGTGATGACCTTATCTATTATTAATTGTTCTTTACACCCTCTGGATCCTTTTCGACAACCCTTCTGCTCTTCGTCCAACAGGTTATTTCTTTCCAGGTGGTTGTATATCTTTTCCGATAGGATGGACGTGAATATTTTATATATTGTAGGAAGGCAGGTGATCGGCCTATATTTGGATGGATCGTCTGAGGACACCTTCGTTTTTGGTAACAAATAAGTGATACCACTGGTCATGAATGGTGGTAGTTCTTCAGGGTTGGATAGCAGGTGAGTATAACATTTGGCTAGATGTTGATGAATGACCTTGAATTGTTTATACCAGAAATTTTGGATTTTATCCTGTCCAGGTGCCTTCCAATTCAAGGTCTTGATTATAGCCTTGGTTACTTGATCGGTTGTTACCTCCCATTCCAACATTGTCTGTAGGTTAGATGTAGACGTCCTCTCGTCAAACAGCCATCTGGTATTTTTGTGAATCACACGGTTTCCCCAGGTTGATTCCCAAAACTTTTTCATGGCTTCTGGTGTGGGGACCTTATTTTCTTGCAGGGTTTCAATCTCGTGATCTTCAGACTCTAAATTCTTATAAAAGCTCCTTTCACTCCTGCTAAACTGACTATTATGTTGACGTCTTGTGTTGCTTTCCTTATACCATCGGAGTTTTTTAGCCATAGCCTTGAGTTTTTGTTTAAGGTGATCCAGTATTTCTGTTGCTGTTGGATTTTCGAGGCTTTGTTCCCTTTCAAGAATGGCTTTGGCTTTCTTAGTGACTGAGCTGCTGGGGTTCAAGCTTTGATTTTGTGTCAGAATTCCTATGTCCCGCCTGATACTATCGATTTTATTAGTAATTCGGCGGTGCCATGCTGGCGTGACTGGGACATTTTTAACTTGAGTGTCCGTGGAGATTTTCTGTTTGTTTAGTGTTAGCACCGCTGCTGCTCTACTATAAATAAGGCTGTGTAGATTTTCGATGGGTATACCAGTTGTTATTTTGGAATCCAGAATTTTGTTGATTTCACCCAATATAGATTTTGCCTTGTTATTATAAATTATTTTGGGAAGTCTAGGTTTCATCATAGGGTCCATTCCATCATAAAGCAAATGAACCCTTTCGAATTCCAGCTCAGCAGCAGATGGTGGTCTGTTGGCTTCCGGTACTGAGGCCGCTGGTTCATCGTCAGCAGGTAAATTTATAGATAGTTCTATCGCAACTTCGCGCTTTATTTGTGTAACAATACCTGGTGTTAGGCGTCTATTTATAAATATAGATCTTCGCTGGTCTATGATATTTTGTATAGTCTTGTGACGAAGCATTGGAAATTTTTCAATTACCAGTCTATGTAGTTCTCGGCTGTATGGAGTTTTGGCGGTTTCTAGTCGGGTTAATCTGTAATAGCAGCGAACCATGAATGCATTGATGTCTTCTGTCCACATGGTTCTTTGCCTAACTGTGCCTTGTGACGTGGTGGGCATGGGCTCTGATGGCCCAGCAACACCGACATCTTGGCTTGGTACGTTTGGTGGTGGTGGTGTATTCGACTGGGTTGGTAATCTGGTTGGTCATTGTTCATTGCCGCGGTAGGTTGCAGGTAAATCTTCAAGACGGTTCCGACCCGGCTTCTGCTGCGCCGGCCCGCCTGAGTCTCTCTTATTTCTCGTTTTAAGAGCATTTAAATATACACGTTCTAGGGGGTGCTAACCCATAGAGCGGTGGTACTAGTTTTTGTCCATCCCGGGTATTTTATTTCCCCGGTACCCTCCATATCTGGAGAGCGTTTCCCAATTCGCACAGGGAGGCGCCCGATGGGAGACTAGCAACTCCACACGGGTATTATTATTATTATTATTATTATTATTATTATTATTATTATTATTATTATTATTATTATTATTATTATTATTATTATTATTATTATTATTATTATTATTATTATTATTATTATTTCTCCCTTCGCATTCCCTTTCCTCGGAAAGAGATCACTTTTCCTACGGAGAGCAAACCATACTCCTAGTCTATTATTATTATTATTATTCCGGTATCTCACAGACTCCCACGGTTGCTGCACTCGCGTTAGGGAATTAATTCGCTTTATACCATTGCGAAAAATGCCTTTACAATATGGCAGGTCAGTAATAAGGATGCCTTTTGCATGCTATTAATAACGTTGTCAAATCTAATTAATTTATTTAAGTAGAGAGTCTATTTAAAACCACCCTTTCATAGATACTACCCACGGTATGATTTTTATTTCTTGTTGTTTCCAGGCACATTTTAATTGAATAGCTAAATTCCTGTATTGATCATATGATGATATTCTATTGCGGCAAGATTAAACATCAACGAGATAGCTATATCTATACTAAGTGACATATAAATCCGAACACCCAGTTTAAATGGTTTTATTTTAATGAAATTTTGTATAAGTACTTAATGAAGCATAATAAGTAAATGATGAAAATTTCAAAATGATTGCACTGCTTTAAAGCCCTTTGACCTTTAATAATGTGTGGATGCACCCTGATGTGCTACGCATTCTCCAACGCGCCTAGGCATGCTTCTGATCAGGTGGTCAATGTCCTCCTGTGGTATCTCATTCCAGGCAACCACCAACTCCTCTCGAAGTGCTTCTAGAGTCTGAGGAGGACGTTGCAAATTGAGCAATCTCCTACCCATCATATCCCACACGTGCTCAATTGGGGATAAGTCGGGAGATCTTGGTGGCCATGGTAACAATGTGACATCATTATGTTGAAAGAAGTCTATTGTGACTCTTGCAACACGTGGTCGGGCATTATCTTGTTGGAAAGTTGGATCTGCCAGGGTGTCAAGATAGGGTAAAAGAAGGGGTTCTAGAACTTCGTGGATATAACGCTGCGCGTTCATGTTACCTCTGATGAAGATTAAAGGTGACCTGGTGCCATAAGCTATAGCACCCCAAACCATAACTCCAACGAATGAGAAGTTTTGGCTTGTTTTCATACCGGCCACACTGGGTCCTCCCTTTAACTCGAGAACACCGACGTAATCGCCTTGAGTGGTGCAGACAACGGTCACTCTGGGATCAGGAATGGAACAGTATTGTCTTTAGTGACGAATCTCGATTTTGTTTAGGCATGCACGATGGTCGTGCCAGGGTTAGAAGGCGACGTGGTGAAAGGAGGAATCCACAGTTTTTTGTTGAAAGACATGTTCATCACACTGTTGGAGTTATGGTTTGTGGTGCTATAGCTTATGGTTCCAGGTCACCTTTAATCTTCATCAGAGGTAACATGAACGCGCAACGTTATATCCACGAAGTTCTAGAACCCCATCTTTTACCCTATCTTGAAACCCTGGCAGATCCAACTTTCCAACAAGATAATGCCCGACCACATGTTGCAAGAGTCACAATAGACTTCTTTCAACATAATGATGTCACATTGTTACCATGGCCACCAAGATCTCCCGACTTATCCCCAATTAAGCACGTGTGGGATATGATGGGTAGGAGATTGCTCAATTTGCAACGTCCTCCTCAGACTCTAGAAGCACTTCGAGAGCAGTTGGTGGTTGCCTGGAATGAGATACCACAGGAGGACATTGACGACCTGATCAGAAGCATGCCTAGGCGCGTTGGAGAATGCGTAGCACATCAGGGTGCATCCACACATTATTAAAGGTCACAGGGCTTTAAAGCAGTGCAATCATTTTGAAATTTTTATCATTTACTTATTATGCTTCATTAAGTACTTATACAAAGTTTTATTAAAATAAAACCATTTAAACTGGCTGTTCTGATTTATATGTCACTTAGTATACAACGTAGCCTTATTGATGTTTTTGTCTACCAGCACTATATCTGGCCTGTTAAAATCTACGCATTTGTTTAAGATAATTGGAGTGATTATTGCTGTGTCTAGTGTTCTAAAGTCCCGAAAACTGCAGTTGTCCTCTGAAGAAGTCGAACAGCTATTTGTCGAAGTGAAATTTTGCAAGAAAACCATCATTTTTGGAGCTGTCTATGTTCCACTAAATTCTTCATCAGTTAAATATGACATCCATTGTTTATCTCTTCTTGAAATTTCTGAAATTTGTCCGGAGGTAACTCGGAATAATGATGATGATTATTTTGTCCATTGCCCTGAGAATTCAGCGGCACGTAGATTGGCAGAAACATTCTCAATATATCACAACTCAATAATGTTCCGAATGAGCGTAATGTGTTTCTAGATTTACTGTTTTCTAGTTTGGTTTATATCAATGTGTTACCAGCTTATGATATTTTACTGCCAGAGAGCCTATACCTTTACAATTTTAGCAAAGTGTAGTCAATCTGATTTTGATGATAGCGGATAAAATTCCTGTTACCCTAAATGGTTCAGCCCTGAACTTAAAGATCTAGTCTGTCGAACAAGATCGCCCATAAGATTTTTATAGAAACAATCCAATATGAGGACTATGTGACTTTCTCAGGGTTACGCTCTTTATGTAAAGAAGAACATAAGCGATGTCATGCAATTCATATTGATCGAGTTCAGGAATCTTTGGTAGCCGATCCACAGCGCTTTTGGGGTTACGTAAAGAGTTTAAGAAATTTAAGTAGCTTACCTAATAGTATGCACTTAGAGGGAGTTAGAGTGCAAGATGCCAAGACAATAAGTAATTTGTTTGCAAAGCACTTTAGCGGTGTATATGATCGTTCTGTACATCCTGTAACCTCTTTTTTATTTGAGAAGACAGGACTACTAAACAAAATTTCTCTTGGAGAAGTATGTGATAAAATCGTAAGTCTCCCAGTGAGGTTCAGCTCGGGTCCTGACCAAATTCTAGAGGTTTTTGTCAAACAATGTATCTTTACACTTACTTTTCCTGACACTTGGAAGCACAGTTATATTAAGCCAATTTTTAAGTCAGAAGATGTTGAAGATATTAGCAATTACAGAGGTGTATGTACCCAATCATCAATTCCGAAACTTTTTGATAGCTTGATATATGATCAACTTAACTGGTATTGCCGTGATCTTGTAAGTAGCAATTTGGGTTTACTAAGGGTAGATCAACTATGGAGAATTTGGTGTCTTATAAAGTTGAAAGGGTCACCTGGTGGATGCAATCTACACAGGCTTTTCCAAAGCCTTCGACAGAGTGAACTTCGAGATTCTGTTGGCAAAGCTGTCAGCTTATGGTTTTTCAGAAAACACAATAAGATGGTTGGAGAGCTTGCTTAAGGGTAGGACCCAATCTGTTAAAATTAGTGGACATCTGTCTTCGATATTCAAGGTTACATCAGGGGTTCCTTAGGGGTCCCATTGTGCTCCTCTTTCCTTCATTTTGTTTGTGAATGACATCCCTGATGTTCTTATTCATTCCAAAGGAACTATGTTTGCTGATGACCTGTAGGACAGTAATGGAGAAAGATGACATGGTGGACCTTCAGCGGGACCTTGATGCGCTGTGGCAGTGGACACAGCTTAATCACTTGTATCTGAACTCTAATAAATGCTTTTTCATAAGTTTTTTCAAAACTAAGAATAGATTTTCAACTGGCTATAGATTAAATAATGATACGCTCTCTTATAAGGTTACCGCTAGGGATCTTGGAGTGCTTTTTGATGAAAGGCTTAACTTTTCAGACCATGTCCTCAAAGTTAGTATAAAGGGCATACAGATGCTGGGCTTTGTTTGGAGAAACTGTAAGTGTTTTTCAATCAATACCATCCGAATTTTATATTGCTCCTTGGTAAGATCAAATTTAGAATATGCCACAGTAGTATGGTCCCCTCAGTACCAGTGTTATAAAGATGACTTAGAGCGTGTCCAGTATAAATTTTTACGGCTTACAGCATTAAAGAGGAACTTAAACATGACAAGATTTTATTGGGGATCACCGATTGCGAAACTTGGTTAACATTAATCAATCTTAATGTACCCCGTAGATTGCGTAATAGTAGTCTGCTTGCGATTAAGTTCCATCCCACAACCTATGGTCAGCACTCTCCACTCGATAGATCATTTCGTGATATCAATTTAGCTCAGTCTAATATTGACATTTTTTCCTGTACACTCTCAGGCTTTAAAAATTATCTTTTAAATTGTGATTTTTATAATTATGTCTTGTGAGCTTGCATGTTGTAATGTTGTTCCCATTTTATGATTTTATTTTGTAAAAATAGGGTCGGTCTCTAG